GAAGACAATTTTTAAGAAGAATTAAATTATTTTGAAAATAAATTCTTCTTAAGAATTCAATGATTCTACATTAATTTTAAAATTCTAAACATTTGAAAAGAAAAAATATTTAAAAAGTGGAGAAACAAAAAAGCAAATAACAACAAACTCGAACAGATTATTATAGAATACAACGATAATTATTATAGATTATAATAATTTATAGAAATTGAGTCAAGAATCAGTAACTCAGACGAAATTCCCGCGATAGTAAAAATTATATTATTTTATTAATTTTTTTTCTTAATTCATTGTCAAGTCTTATCCAAAAATTATTACAATACTTATTATTTTTGCAATATTAATTATTCGCATTAGAATATTTTCTATTTTTTGTTTATCTTAATTTCGAATTATTTCGTGTTATTAGAGAAAAAATATTTTTCCACGCGATAATTACATCGTGCGAGCAGAAAGTACCGATCAAGATGTTTACGTAATTTCTCTATATCTCAATTTGATGATCCTTCCTCCCACGGGTCACGAAATGAATTGTGGGTACAATTAAATATAATGATACTGGCCATTGTTAAAGGGCTCCCCTTGCACAATGAATAATGACAACTGCTCAAGTGTCTTCTTAAAACATTTGATAACGAATCCTCATTTACAAATTGCTTTCATGTAATCGCTTTCATCGTAACGTTTAATGTTTTATTTCAATTTTCAAATCTTAAATATCTCAAAAATGGAACTTATTAATCAATTCTTTCCACTTACTTAATTAATTTTTTAAACATTGGAAAAATTTGTTGTATTAATATAGGATTTAAATTTTAAGTAAAATTTGTATTTAATTTTTTTATTTTTAATAAGAATAATTAAAAAATTTGATAAAATAGAAAAATTTTAAAATATGTAAATAATTAAATTTATACGTTACAGATTAAAAATAGGACACTGAAAATTATTGATAAATCAAGTTCGTCAAAATGATTGCAGCAAAAATAAATAATAAAAGGGAACGCAACCATGATGGATGAATATAATTCAAATGAAAGAAACATATCTTGATTTGTGTCAAGATTTCTCGCTCATCGATTATTCCCATCGTATATTGATCAATTATAGTGATTGTGACGGGAAAGTTTTTCCTGATTAGAGTTTTCTCTATTGAAGTAACTATAATACACACACATACATAATAAGAAATAGTCATTTGGAATTTCAAAGATTTTTAAGCACGTTAAACACAATAAATAATTTAATATTTCGAAAAGAAGAAAAAAAAATGTATGCTAAATACAATATAGTGTAATCTATATGACAGTAATTGAAAACACGTGTAACGGAATGCTCGACTGAGTTCTAGTTCTTGAATGAAATTTAAACGGTAGCGATTATACACTCTTCATAAGGTTGTAAGCCTTCTGCGTCCTCCTAAAGTTACTCGTTCTTTTGTGTAAGGAAAGAGAGCTTCAAAGAATAGGAAAAACCATAAAGAAACACCCCAATGTCCCTTCTCAGATGCGTTAAATAGCGAAAAAAAGGGATTCTAAGAAAGATGCATATATATTCTTCTCTTCTGAAATTTCATCTTTAAAATTTTATTGCCTTCCGTAAAATTATCTATATTTCTTTCAATTTGCACTGATTTTCTCTTCTCTTCTCTTTTTTTCTTCTGTATTTTCTTCTTTAAAATTTTATTTCCTCCCTGAAAATGATTTATTTCTTTTAGTTTGCACTGATTTTCTCTTCTCTTTCTTCATCTGAATTTTCTTCTTTAAAATTTTATTTCCTCCCTGAAAATTATTTTTTTTTTCAGTTTGCAGTGATTTTCTCTTCTCTTCTCTTTTTTTCTTCTGAATTTTCGTCTTTAAAATTTTATTTACTCACTGAAAATTATTTACTTTTTTCAATTTGCACTGATTTTCTCTTCTCTTCTCTTTTTTTCTTCTGAATTTTCTTCTTTAAAATTTTATTTCCTCCCTGAAAATTATTTATTTTTTTCAATTTGCAGTGATTTTCTCTTCTCTTTTTTTCTTCTGAATTTTCGTCTTTAAATTTTTATTTCCTCCCTGAAAATTATTGATTTTTTTCAATTTGCAGTGATTTTCTCTTCTCTTCTCTTCTCTTTTTTTCTTCTGAATTTTCGTCTTTAAAATTTTATTTACTCACTGAAAATTATTTACTTTTTTCAATTTGCACTGATTTTCTCTTCTCTTCTCTTTTTTTCTTCTGAATTTTCGTCTTTAAAATTTTATTTCCTCACTGAAAATTATTTATTTCTTTCAATTTGCACTGATTTTCTCTCTTCTTCTCTTTTTTTCATCTGAATTTTCTTCTTTAAAATTTTAATTTCTCCCTGAAAATTATTTATTTCTTTCAATTTGCACTGATTCCATTCAGATGAAAAAAAAGAATCTGAATCTGAATTTTCGTCTTTAAAATTTTATTTTCCCCCTGAAAATTATCTATTTCTTTCAATTTGCACTGATTTTCTGTTTTCTCAGGTGAAAAATGGGGAAAAAAAGTGAAAAAGAATCTCAGGTGAAAAGCCTTTTAGTGACAAAAATGGAAGATTCTCTCTCAGCTATTAGATAAATAAGGAAGTAGTTGATTAATTTTTTTTAATTAAAGACTTTCGAGGATTTAACAATGGAATAGTGAAACTAAATCGAAAGAATGTAACATTGCAGGCAAATGACGCGTACATAGTGAACTGTAAAAAAAATCACATGATGTTGAAATGCTAGCGAAACTTCTCACGCTCGATCTCATAACGTCCTTAGAACAAAAATAAAAGTGTCAGCCTCTCGTGGCATTCCCTTTTTCTGTATCGATATTTTTTTCTTCATCGACATTTACGTAGTTTCAATTCTAAATTGGTCCTTTTTTATATTTCTTGTTCAGTTTTTTCAATTTTTCATTTCTATTATTTGTTTGTTTTTTTTTCTCTTATTTTTTTTATATTTTTATTTGAAATCACTAAAATGTGCAAAATTTAAATTTGTATCACATTTAAAAGATTCATTTAATTATTTATTCATTATATTTTTCTCTTATTTTTGGTTTTATCTCCATTTGAAATCACTAAAATGTGCAAATTTAAATTTGTATCACATTTAAAAGATTCATTTAATTATTTATTATATTTTTCGCTCGATATTTTTGGTGCCATATTTTTGTGTTTTTTTCTCCCGTTTTATTTCTTGTTCAATTTTTTATTAAATTTCAATTTCAAATCATTTTTCTTTATTTCTCGTTGTTTTTATCTCTATTTTTTCATCATTAAAATGAACAAATTTTAATTTATATCACATTTAGAAGATAAATTTAATTGTTTATTATATTTTTCCCTGTATTTTTTGTGTTTTTTCTCTCTTTTTATTTCTTGTTAAATTTTTTATTCAATTTCAATTTTAAATCATTTTTTTTCTCGTTGTTGTTTTTTTTATTTCCATTTTTTAATCATTTGAAATGTGCAAATTTAAATTTATATCACATTTTGAAGATTAATTTAATAATTTATTATAGATTTTTTTGTATTTTTTTAACTTCCATTTTTTTGCATCAAAATTATCGATGCGATTATTTTTTCTCAGTTTTTTTCTCTATAGGTAAACAGTTAAAATCTTGAAGTTTTTTTTATCGAATATTGGAATGACTTCGTTAATCGGATTGATGAAGAGGAATTTATTGAAGTTTTACCTGAAATGCCATTTCAGACCGGTGATCGACTGTGACCTGGTCATTTAATAAGATTTTAATTGGCAATCGCTTAAGTTAAATTAATGATAGCTTTGCCTTTTTTCCCACTGTGATAAAATTTTCTTATATAAAGTTGGAATTTTTTGTGAATATATTTTTAAGATTTTAAACAATTTTTTTAAATTAGATAATTTTTTTGAAATTAAGCTATTTTTAAATTAACCTTTTTTGAAATTAATCAATTTTCTATTAAAATTATCCATTCCATTGCAAAAATTACCAAAAAGAAAAAATTAATTCAAAAATTTTTTTTAAATTAAACTATTTTTTAAAATTTAATTGATAAATAATCAATTCTGTATTAAAATTATCCATTCGATTATTTTTTGCGATTCTAAAAATTACAAAAAAAAAAAATTGAAAATAAATTAGTAATGTGTAAAATTTTAAGGAATTTTTTTTTAAATTAAAAAATGTAAATGTTTGTAAATCAGAAATTCGAAACAATTTTCTTCTGAATTTCTAATTTTCAAAATTGGTTTTAAATTCCCAGTAAGTAAAAATATTTTTGAAACACTTTAGAAATGTTTTTAAAAATATCTTCGAAAACATTTTATTACCTAATAAATTTCCTTCTATCGCATAAAAATGATAGAAATTTTAATACAAGAAATTATTCCTTTATTTTAGAAATTACAATCTTTAATTAGACATTAGACATATAAGTATTGCCTATAAAATTGTAAATGTTGAAAACAAATTAGAAATTTTACTTCCTGAATTTGTTTCTTTTGTATAAAATTGACATTATATTGATAAAAAAAAAAGAGAAAAACTTTCGTGCGTAGTTATTGTAATGGCTATTGCTCAATTTTTACCGTTTTACAAGCAATGTGCACCCGCAATTCGCTCTCCCTTTCATTTATCTCGACGTATTTTCAAGACTTACGTACATATAACAAACACCTGACGTGTTATTTCCATTTCATCGCTGATTAAACGTTTCTCATCGCTTGTATATAGAAAAAAATATTTTTTTTCACTAAACTGAACTTTATTTATTTTTCATTTATCTTAATTGAAAATTATATTTTTATTCTCTAATCGCTATAGGAACTTTTATTACCTTAAAAAAACGGAAAAAAATCCTTATCTAAAGGAAATTATTTTTTTTTCGAATTTGTTTCGATATTTTCAAGATAAAATTTGAATTTTTTGATTTTATTCTCATTTGAATTATTTATTTTTTATTGAATTCATTATTTTCATTAATCGATTTAAATACTAATGTGTTCTTTTCTTATTTTCAGATTCGATGATGGACGAGATGGATATTTGGATTTGTCGGAACTAAAGCGCATGATGGAAGTTCTCGGAGCTCCTCAAACGCACCTTGGACTGAAAGCAATGATCAAAGAAGTAGACGAAGATTGTGACGGAAAAATTTCTTTTCGTGAGGTGATTATTGGGAGAAGAAAAAATTGTTTCTACCTTCTTTAAGAGTAATTTTATCTTGAAAAATGTTCTCTTTATTATGGTGATCCAGTTCGTTTACCTAATTCTCTTATAGGAGTAAAAAAAACCTCTTTTCTTCTTTTTTATTATCTTGAATTAATAAAATCCCCTAAAACACCTAAAATCACGCAATTCACGCATATGATTATTTCCAGAATAATTTTGACTACTTCTAAAGAAAATTTTTCTAATTTTTATAAAAAAGATTTCTTCGGAAATAGTAAAAGTTATTCTTGAAATAAAATTTAAGTACATAAAAAAATAAATATTTATTGAAAATTTCTTATTTATTTAATTTCACTAAATCCGAATTAAATTTTACTAATTTTTTTACTGAAATTTAATTCACTTGAATTTAAAGCAAAAGTAGCGTTCTAACAAAAATTTTGATTCAAAATTTAGAAAAATTGTAGACTCTGGAAACAGACTGAAGAAATATAAATAATTAATAAAGAAAATTGAAATTAACATTGAAAATTCTTGTCAAAATTTCAATTATCTTTAGAAATAATTACATTCTTCTCCAAAAATTCAATTATTTTCAAAAATTTTAATAAAATTGTTGTCAAAATTTCAATTATTTTCAAACATTTTCCTCAATTCAATGATTTTTAATATCAACTATTATAATAAAATTTTCCAAAAGAATTCAATTATTTAAAAAAAATTTAATAATATTCTACGCAAACCTTTAAAAATTATTTTCATAAAATAATAAAAATTTTACAGGAATTCAATTAATTACAAATTTTTTAAAAACTTCTTCGCAATCATTCAATTATTTTCATAAATAATAAAACTCATTGCTAAATTTCAATTATTTTCAACACAATTTTAATAGAATTCCTAGAAAAATGTAATTATTCTTAAAAATTTTATTAAAATTCGTCAAATGAATTAAATTTTAAGAAACATGCAATTATTCAATAAATGGTTTTTTTGTATTTAAATAATTGAATTCTACTAGAATTTTCTACTAAAACTTGATTTAAAAATGGATTTTAGTTAAAATTTTAGATTATAATTGAATATTAGAAGCATTAGAGCGTGAATTTTTAGAAATATAATTGAATCTTGAAAAGGTTTGAATTTGGAATTTTTGAAAATCTGAATTCTTTATTTTTTTAACTAACAACTCTGTGGAATTAATTTTTTTGAGAAAGTTTAATTGCGGATTTTTTTTTTAAATTGTAGATTGTAAATTATAAACAAATGAATGAAAATTCGCAAAGAAGTTTTGCAGAAATTATTAAAAATAATGCATTTTATAGAAGAATTTTAGTTAAAAACACGAAAAAAAATTTTATTTCGGAATAGTTACAAATTATTGTAGAAATTTAATTATTTTCAAGAGTAATAATATTCTTCTCAAAAATTAAATATTGTTCAAAAATAATAAAATTCTTTTTTGGAATTGAATTATTTTTATAAATATTAAAATTCACCGCAGAATTTGAATTATTTCTAATCCAATTTCAATCGAATTCCTCAAAAGATGTAGTAATTATTCTTGAAAATTTTATTAAAATTCGTCAAAACAATTTAATTATTTAAAAATTTATTGATAAAATTCTTTATGGGAATTGAATTTTAAAGAAAATTTAATTATTCTATAAATTATCTATGTTTGTATTATTTTAGTTTAAAATGCTTGAATCATCTTTAATTATTATAAAACATGAAGAAATCGATCACTCCGAGTCGAAGACTCGGAGTTATCGATATCTTCATGTTTTATAGGTATGGGAAATTTAATTTATAGTTTTAAGTAAAATGTTCTCTAATTTGTCTCCGACTAGTTATATTTTTGTCAGTAATTGGTCCGTAATTTTTAATTTTTGGTTCGAGAATCATTGATCCCTGCCATGGTCATTGTCATAATTTAACAAAATCCGAGAAATTACCAAATAATTCCAAACGAATATTCTTATTATTGTACAACCTTTGAATCACTGTTTTATCAATAGTGAGAGAATATTATGTGACAAATTTTATAAAACGTGACTTTTGTATAATACGCATGGATATATGATTCATTTGATAAAGTTTCATTTCCCGTCTACCTTGCCTTACTCACAGTTTAACGATTCATTTCCTTGAATCAACTTTGACATATTATTTTTGACCTCGGGAATTTTCTTTTTTGGGGGGCAGAGGATTCATTGGCAATGAGGGAAAACAATTAAAAGTCTTTAATTAGCTACCTTCACTTATAGTGAAGTGAATAAAAATAGAACAATTTTAATATTATAATTATGTTTATTTTTGGATTAAATGGTTTATTTTTTTTTTTAAATGTCTTTGATGTATATTTTTAGTTTCTACTGATTTATCGTAAGGCACGAGCTGGAGAATTGGAGCAAGATTCTGGTCTTGGACAACTTGCTCGTTTGACGGAAGTTGACGTCGACGCGGTTGGAGTAACAGGCGCGAAAAATTTCTTCGAAGCCAAGGTAAGGCGCTCTCACAGCTAGTAGGCAGCATACAAATTTGAATTTACTATCTCTTTCACTCTAATTGATTTTCTCTCTTACTCCAATTACTGCCTGCGCAGGCAGGCAGAGCTGTGAGAGCTCCAGTAAACGTATTAGAATTTATGAACAAACACGCTCGTAAACTGGAGTTAATTATTCAATAATTTTTTTTATGCTTCACACTTTTAAAGAATTCATAAAGAAGTCGCAATATTTTTCCATCTTGGTTATTAGTTAGAATTTTACTGCTGAACTCGTCATTGAATAACGAATTTTTATTTTAAGTGCGTTTCAAAATTGCTTGAGAATCATTTTTATGTTAATTATTGTCGAGCTATTTTTAAATATTTCATTTAATTTTTGAAAATTTTTTTGTATTCAATTTTGGAAATTCGATAGAAAAAAAATCCACAGGGAAAATTTAAGAACCTTGATTTTTCTTTGCTTTTTTTTCACCTAAACTTTTAAATTATAGTGTATTTAGTTTTTTCTTATTTCTGTAAACAAATAAATTTATTTTAAATAATAAAATTCAAGAATAACTTTTTTTTCACAAACAAAATTAATTTTTTTTTATTTTAAAAGACATTTTTTATAACTATTCATACTAATTTTTACATTTCTTTATGTAATTTTTGTAACTTTATAATTTTTAATTTGAAACAATTATTAAATTCTTGCACATAAAATTTTATGACAATTTTTGAAAGTAATTTAATTCTTTCAAGAAATTTTATAAAAATTGTTTTGAAAATAATTGAATTTCTCAGAAGAATTTTATTATTTACAAAAATAATTGAATTCTTGACAAGAATTTTACAATTTATAAAAATAATTGAATTGTTTCGAAGAATTTTATCAGAATTGTTGAAAATAATTGAATTTAAATAATATTTTTAAAAATAATTGTATTCTTTTGAGAAATTTTATTAAAATTGTATTGAAAATAATTGAATTCATATTTATGAAAATAATTTGAATTCTCGCGGAGAATTTTAAAATTCATAAAATTAATTTAATTGTTTCGAAGAATTTTATCTGAATTTTTTAAAATAATAATAATTGAACTTTTTGATAAAATTTTATTAAAAATTTTAAAAATAATGATTTTTTAAAAAGAATTTCATCAAAATTGTCGAAAATAATTGAATTTATTTTAAAATCCTTGAAAATAATTCAATTAAAATAATATTTTTAAAAATAATTGTATTCTTTCAAGAAATTTTATAAAAATTGTTTTGAAAATAATTTAACTCTTGTGAAAAAATTTAATATCTATGAATAGAATTGAATTCTTGCGAAGAATTTTATTAAAAGTTTTGAAAATAATTGAATTTCTATGAAGAATTCTATTTAATATAAAAATAATTGAATTGTATAGAAGAATTTCATTATTTATGAAAATCATTAAATTCTTGACAAAAAAATTATTAAAATTTTTGAAAAGAATTGAATTTTGACACAGAATTGAATTAAAAGTTTTTAAAAGAATTGAATTAAAGAATTTTATTATTTATGGAAATAATTGAATTATTTTGAGAAATTTTATTCAAATTAAAAGAATTCGAAATAATTGAATTCTTGAGAAGAATTTTATTATTTTAGACAATAATTAAATCTTTCCAGAAATTTGATTAAGATTATATTCAAAATTAATTAACTTTTTCTGAACAATATTGTTATTTATCAAAATAATTGAATTGGTGCGAAGAATTTTATTCAAATTATATTCAAATAACTGAATTTATCTGAAAAATTTTACAACTTATGAAAATTTCGAAAACTTTTATTTTAAATTCTGAAAAATTTGGATTTTAAAATATGTCAGTTCAGGTAGTTAAAGCAATAAAATGAATATTTGTAAATTATTAAATTTTCCTTTCCGTAGATCGAACAGTTGCGGAAGTCAAGTAAATTCGAGGATGAAATTCGAATGGAGCAAGAAGAGCGAAAGCGTCAAGAGGAAGAAAAAGCAGTGAGACGAGCACAGTTCCGGGAAAAGGCAGCTTTATTTGGCAAGAATTAAAAAAAAGGCGTTCGCAAATTGACTATTTTTGGTATTACCAATTTCCTGATGAGGAAAATTGGAGGAAAAAAAAATTATAGTCTCGTTCTACTGCAGAATATCTCGCAAACTGTTCATGCGCGCTATAAATAGCTCAAATTATTTTCCAGTTAAAAAAAATTGTTAACTGAAAAAATTCGCGTGGAAAATTTTTATTAACAAAAAAAAGAAATTTCTTGTTAAACTCAAAGAGTATATCTAAAATTGCCTATTATTAAATATCGTATCTGAAAAATGCATTTAAAATTGTAGAATTCAAAAATTTTAAACTTCAAATTTATTTATTGAAAAGTTGTGAAATTGAAAAATTCAAATACAAAAAATTTCTTATTTTTTTGTAATTTTTTTCTTCATAGTCAACAATTTCTTTTTTTTAGAAATTTTGCAATTTCCAATTTCTATACATTCTTTTCCCTGTTTTATTTATTTTTTTTTTTTGTGATTTTATCGAATTTTCTACAATTTATTTTTTAAGTGCGCTTACAATTTTTTGTACAGATCAATGACTGATAAATGTTTAACATAATTTTTAAGTATACTTATTGAATTATTTTGAATGATTGTAAAGCTTGAGCAACAAAATAATTGTTATAGGCTAAGAAAAATGCATTGTTTATATGTGTAATGTGTAAATATAAGTTTTATCATATAATGTAGAAGTTAGAATTTATAGTTAATTATAGTAATTAACTTACTTTAACGCACGATATCAATTTGTATTGTGATATATAGTTTGAGAGCGCATCGTTAATGTCTTTGTAAAAATTGTCATCTTTTAAAATTTCATTTTTTTGTGAATGTTTTTAAATTTAGGTTTATTTGTGAAAATGAAAATAAACTTTCTGAAAGTTAAATATCATTTAATGTGTCGAATTTAAGAATAGTACAATTGGAAATTAAAACAAATATAATTTAAAAGTACATTTGTATCATTAAATATTTAATATGCTAATGTTATTACATAATATATTGAGATTAAAAAAAATTAAAATTAAATCTAGAAGTACGTTTGTAATATTAATTATTTACAAGGAGTACTAAAATATTTTAAGCCTTTTCTGCGAGAAAAATACCGTTGAGAACTTACTCCGTAAGATGGAGAGTGATTATTTTCTTCATCTACATTTTTCACTGGACTCAAATCTGCAAATACGTCTGAAAAAGAATTTTCATTTTCCTTTGGAGTTGATGTACTAAATGAAAATTCACTGTCGTCTTGATCAATGTCTTCCAGAGCGGGCCATTCAATTGTAACGTCCTCGAGACAAAAATTTGATAATTTCTGAACTGTTTCTAAAAATTTATATTCTTCTAAATCACATTCAGAATTTTTCGATTGATTATCGTCATTTAACGATAAATTTCTTATTTTCGTATTTTCCACGCACTTATATTTTTCAATTAATTTCTTCGGCGACAAAAAATAGCGTTCCTTTTTACGTCGAGTAAAAAAATTTAAAGTGTTATCTACACTGAGCAAATTCATTGAATTCGCTATTGAAAATTCATCATTATTATCTTTATTATCATTACTATCGGGTACAACACTATTCTCAGAAACATTAGATATTATAATATCTGGAGTGATTTTATTGTACTCGGTTATAATTGATTTAGAATCATCATAACTGAAATTCATCCAACTTGGACATGATTCATTCTCTATTTTCTCGAAACTATCTGTTATTGTTTTAAAATCATTTGATAGATTGAAACTGTTTGAAAATTCTATTCTACCTGATAACAAAGAATTTTCTGTATTTTCTGTTCTAAAATATGACTTTTCAAAAATATGTAAATCATTTACAATATTTCCAAATTCTAAAAATGATTTTTCTCTTCTTATTTGACTGATATCACAATAGTCATCATTGAGGTGACTTCCAGCAATAATAGTTGAAGGACGTTTCTTTTTCTTGACTGATGACGATGCCTCAGAGTCATTGGTGAGGCTTAAAAGTGACCGGTATTCGAGTAAAATTTCATTTAAATCAATTTCTTCCTCTAGATGATATGTACTTGTTGTTGATGATAGAAAATAACTATTTGTTAGAGAATAATTATTCGTTATGTCCAATTTATCCATATTTTATTAATCTGCAAAAAAAGAAATTTTACCATAATATTAATAGGTATTTTAAATTATTTCCTTCAATGAGAAATCGATAAAATTAAATAATTAGTTTTTAATTCAAATTAAAGACGTTGAAGTTAAAAATGTTTATAATTAACGATTTAGAAGAAAAAATACTTTTCTATTTAAATTTTTTAAATTTTATCAAAAAATTTTCCTTTTTTTTTGTTAATAATTTAAAAACAAAAATTTGAAAGTATATTTTTATTTTAGTAGGAAATATATTCTTTCTTTCAATCGTTATTTACAAACGTCGTGAACTCACCCAACGCGTTTAATTTTGATATCAAGTTTTCTTAGTTTTATTAATAATCTATTAAATTTATTTATTAAAAAATTAATCTAGAAAAAAAATTTACTTACCGATGTTTGTTTTATTTACAAATTTTTAAACTATTTCACTACGTTTCTTTATATTTTCAAATAATTTTAAAGGATTGCACAAGTGTTTAGGCATTGTGACACCTCAGCTTTAGGAAAATTTCTAATTTACTTAAATAAATATGATGGAAAGGTCGTTATATTTTGTTTAGAAGGACGAAATTCTATGGCGCGAAAATGTGATGATGTTTTTAAATTTAATAATCGAGAATTTGTAATTTTTGAAAAAATATTATTATTATTATTAATAATTGTAAATTAAAAATGAATTTTTTCAGTCTAAGAATTAATCATATTGTAATTTAATAATATTAAAAACTTAATAAATATCTTTGTAATTTGAATTATCTAAAAGTCTGAAGGGGCATGTCAGTAATTCCTTTCGGCACTTTTAAACCACGCCTTGAGTAACCAACACCTGCTTGAATTATTTGAATTGCAGCATCAACTGTTAATTTTACTTTATGCTCGTCTCCAATTTCGGGATTTACTTCCACTAAATCCACGGCATTTAATCTACGCGTTCTGTACATTTCTTCCATTAAATGAATTCCTTCTCTTAAGGATAATCCGCCACGAACTGAAAAAATAGGAAAATTGTTTTAAATTATACAAGTATTATTTAAATAAAATCCCTTCTTATTTTTTATAAGACTTTTTTTCTCTTTTAAATTAAAAAAATTTGTTTACTTAACAAAGGGTTTTTTCCTTGTTAAGTTTAAAAATTTACGATAAATAAATAAATCGAATTAAGTGAATTTTTAATCAATACCAGGAGTTCCTGTGCTAGGAGCCTCTAATGGATCAAGTGAATCAATGTCAAAACTGACGTGAAGCGATTTAACGTGATCGGGATCAATTTTATTCAGAGCCATGTGAACAATGTCATGAATTCCTGAAAGAAAGAATTTTTTATTAATATAAAAGCATACAGAAAAATATTCATGCGTTTCTTTTATTTTTTGTTATTACAGAACTTAAAATAAAATTTAATTTAAAAAAATCAGAAAATTGTTAAATTAGAGAATTAAAAAGTTAATTAAAGAAGAAGAACTGCTTTATTTTATTTTATGTTAATTTAATTTATTTTATTATTATTTGAACTCTAGGTATTTTATTTTTGTAATAATTGAGTTCAAAAAGTTGCTTAAAGAATAAGAAAAGAAATTCAATTATTAACTAATTATTATTATTTACTACTTTTTAAAATAGATATTACTAAAATTCTTTGAAAAAATACAATTATTTTCAAAAATTGTAATAAAATTCTTTACAAAGAATTCAATTATTTTTAATTTTTATAAATAATATAATTCTTCGCAGAAATTTAATTATTTTCAGTATATTTTAATTGAAATTCCTCTAAAGATTCCATTATTTTAAAAAAATTTTATGGGAAAAATATGTCGAAAGAATTCAATTATTTACATAAATAATATAATTCTTCGCAGAAATTTAATTATTTTCAGTACATTTTAAATGAAATTCGTCGAAAGAATTCAATTATTTATATAAATAAATAAAATTCTTCGCAAGACTTTATTTTTTAAAAAACTTTTAAATAAATATTTTGCAAAAATTCAATTATTTTTAAAAATTTTAATAAAATTCTTCACAAGAATTCAATTATATGCATAAATGACATAATTTTTCGCATAAATTCAATTATTTTCAAACAATTTTAATAAAATTCTTAGAGAAGAATCTAAGTATTTTAATAAGTAATAACATTCTTTGGAGGAATTCAATTATTTTCAATATAATTTTAATAAAATTTCCCAAAAGAATTCAATTATCTTTAAAAATTTTGATAAAATTTATTTATTAGTTTTTAATTATATTTTTAAAAATTTTCACAAGTAATAAAATTCTTCAGAGAAATTTCAATTATTTTCAATACAATTTTAATAGGATTTCTTGACATAATGCAATTATTTTTAAATATTTTAATAAAATTTCTCAAAAGAATTCAATTCTCTTTAAAAATTTTGATAAAATTTGTTTATTAGTTTTTAATTATACCTATTTTTAAAATTTTTAATTAAATTTTCACAAGTAATAAAATTCTTCAGAGAAATTTCAATTATTTTCAATACAATTTTAATAAAATTCCTTGAAAGAATTTATTTATTTTTAAAAGTTTTTAATAAAATTCTATTCAAAAATTTAATTATTTCAGAATCGATTACAAAATAGTAAAAAAAAATTAGAATAACATTTTTTTTACAAAAAGTTCATATTAAAAAAGCGCTTGAAAAGAAAAAAATGATTGCGAATAATTATAATTTCTAAATTTTTTTGCGAAAGTATTTTTACAAAATTTATCTTCTGAATAAGTAAATAATAAATATGAATCTAAATGAATAATTTAAAGAAAAGTTATTTAAAATTTTAAAAAGTAAATTAAAGAACATGAACTGCAGGTGTTGTTCTTTTATTTTGTGCAGGCACCAGACTCAACAAAAATAAAAACTAATTTCGAAAACTAAGGAAATAATAATTAAAGAATTAAAAAGTTAATTAACGAACAATAACTGGAGTTCTTGTAAATTTAAAAATGTATTTTGCCTCTTTGAAAAATATTCATTAAAATAAAGTAAAAGAAAGCAAATACTTCTTTTCAACTTAATAGGTAAATAATTGCTGTCCGCAACAGTACAAAGGGTTGGTGTCTGTGGGTTTATCCCACAGTACCAGATTAAAATAGGCGCCTTGATTAGAAATGAGTGTCCAGACAGAATCAGCTTTCTCATTACTATACAATAGAGCCTGTTTATGACTTCTGGTATTTCCAAAAAGTCAAGTGAATTTTTCTTTCTTAAAATGTTCCCCCTGCTGTTTTTTGCAAATAAGGGATAATTACCGTATGTTTCAACATCCTCCATTCCAAAGGCAGTGATTCCGAATTTCTCAATCACCAATCTTTCGTATCGATCCACAGATCTAAGTCCTATGTACGCAAAGTTCCTGATCGACAACCTGGATAAAATAATTTTTATTATTATTTATTATTAATTATTAATTAATTGCAATCCATCAATTATAAAGAAAACTATTTCCCTAAAGTTCCGAACGTTCAAATTAAGGACGATACTATTTTTCTAATTTGAATTTTTTCACAAAATATCGTTTTTTATAATTAAAAATTACTTTTTAACTAAATAAATATTCAATCACAATATTTTTCATTTCAGACTGTAGTCATTTTTAAAAATATTAAAGTCCAAAAAGTTTTTCCTTCATTTGAAGGTTCGAAACTAAAAATGGAAAAAATTGCGAGATTGGAAAATTATTAATTAGGTTTAATTACATCGGTTTTTGCCAATCCATTCCTGGTAAATGCGGCCAGTAGTCGGATAATTCCGATGTAAGGAGAGCAACTGGCATTCCGTGAACATTTCCACTTTCGCTTGTCTTATTTGTATTTAAATCGGCATGTGCATCGACCCACAAGACAGCAACATCGTCATGTACCTGAAAAAATTTGAATACTTAATAACAATTGAAAATAAAATTGAAAATAAAATTAAAAATAAAACTTTTTTAACTTTGGAAACTTTGAAAATTAAAAATTATTAACTACCAACTTTTACGTGCCCATCTATTGTGCCAATGCCAACACTGTGATCACCGCCTAAAGTAACCACCCGCCTTTGATCTTTTAAAGCTTGCTGAACAAGTTGTGACACTCGATTCGTACACGCCGCAACTTCCCCCAAATGAGACATGTTGTCAACATTTGGGATTTCCTCCGGTGTATAGGATATATTTCCATAATCGTGAACGTCTAGACCTGCAACGAATTAATTTTGGTAGTTACCAAAAATAAAAAATAATTAAAAAGTAAAAAAAAATATGCATCGAATACGTTTTACAATTATTAAAAGTAAAACACAAGTTTCATTTACTACATTAATAAATTATTAATTTAGTTACTTATTAATACATTTTTTTTATTATTATTAAATTATTATTATTATATATTTTAATTTATTTACTCTCCCTCCATTAGACAGGATTCGAGAATCCAATTATTATTATATATTATTAAATTATTAATTAAAAAGTAAAAAAAAATATGAATCGAATACGTTTTACAATTATTAAAACACAAGTTTAATTTACTAAATTAATAAATTATTAATTTAGTTACTTATTTTTTTTAAATTTATTAAAATATTTAGGTACTTTATTTATTATTTAAATTTAAATTTCCCACAGGTAACTTGTTTATTATGAGAAATATTCAATAATGATCTTCAAAAGAATGTGAAATATAAAAGAAAAAAACAAATGAAGAGTTACAAAAATTGTGTTTATTGAATGATCTGAAATTATCTCTATTATATTTTTTTATTTCTTGTTTCTATTGATTTTTATAGAATAAATAAAATTGTTCAGATATAACTATTTTTTTTAATAAAAGAAATATTTACCAACTGTTCTTAATTCTGCAACAAGTCCCGCGTTTCTTATAGCTTCTGGTCCTTTCGCCACTCCTGCTTTACTCTGAAATTATTCAATAACATTTCAATAGAAAATCATTTCAAGAAAACAAATTTAATCAAATAAACATATTTTAATAAATTTCCATCAATTATTCAAGCACTGTATTAATTGAAATTGTTTACGAAAATAAATTGCTGTAAACATTTCTTTAAATACTGTTTAATATTGATTGATACTGATTTTATATGAATGTTGAAAAAAATGTTATGAAAATATTACTTGTCTATATGAAAAAAAATGAATGCAGAAAAAATGACTACCTGGCCTTTTTCGAAAGGAACGCCGATGATGCCAACTTTTCCAAAATTTCTCTGTCCAACTTTTATTATTTTCGATCGAACCTTGGCAAACATTTTCTTGACACTAACGATGTTTTCTGTTGTTTCTTTCATTATCACAAAAAACGACCATTTCTCCACATTGTGACCCTTGACTTTCCGATAATTTTCTTTAATCTATTTCACTATTTAAAAACCTCTTTTTTCTTTCTACAGAGAATACTTCCAAAAAATTGAAATTGAAAGAGAAATATTTTTTCTTAAGTGGCAAATAAAATTACACAAAACATTATATTCATAAAATAATTAATTGAAATTGGTAAAATTCAAAAGTTCGATTTTAATAAAATTCGTCTAATAATTTCTAATAATAAAAATAATAATTTATCGGGAAGTAAAATTATCGAAATAAATCATTATTACTATTATAAATTTATAATTATTACTGTAACTATTTTTTTTACCTATTATAGACACTGTCTAATTATTTTTGTTTGAAAATAAATTAATTGAATATTAAATTCAATGTTAAGTTAAATATTAGTTTAAATATTAAATTAGATATTAAATTAAATGTTAAACTAAATATTAAATTAAATGTTGAATTACATATTAAATTAAATGTTAAATTAGATATTAAATTAAATTTTAAATTGAATATTAAATTAGGCATTAAATTAGTTTTTAGGTTCCTCCAGTTGAAATTAATTTCAAACGTTTGGTAACAGGAACAAAAAATTCATTTATTAATAAGAAAATATACGAAAATGTTTCAATTAAATTTACGACGAATTAAAAAGTATTTGCGAAAAAATAAGTACGACACTGAATTTTCCAAATGTACAAATTCTGTTAGAATGCAGCAATGAGTACTCCTTTTTAAACAGTTCTAGAGTAATGATTCCTTTTTTAAAAAATGAAATTTTATTTGGGTCCCAGCATTTGCTCTGGTTTGACCCACTGCTTGAATTGTTCTTCAGTCAAGCCATTTTTCAATGCAGACTCCTTTAATGTCAGCTTCTCCTTATGCGCCTGTTTGGCAATTTTCGCCGCCTAAAGTAAATTCACGTAATCGTTAATTAATTAACTTAATTAGAAATTGAATATAAAGAGTAATTTAACAGTAAATCGTAATTTAAGTAGTAAATTTACATTAAATCGTAATTTAAGTAGTAAATTTACATTAAATCGTAATTTAAATAGTAAATTTACATTAAATCGTAATTTAAATAGAAAATTTACAATAAATCTTAATTTGAATAGTAAATTTGTAAATTTACTATTCGAATTGCGATTTATTGCAAATTTATTATCTAAAAATAAAAATTGTAATAAAATAAAAATAGTAATTTAAATAATAAATTTACAATAAATGGCAAATTAAATAGTAAATTTACAATAAATTAATGTTAGACCTTGGGAACTAAGATTTTCAAAAATATCAAATTTAAAACTTTTTCAAATTCAATAACTTATAAGAATATTATTATAAAACATGAAGAAGTCAATCACTTCTTAATTATTTTCATCATTTAAATTCAATTAATATTTTTTAGAATTTTTAACTACAATTCTTCTTCAAATTAATTATTAGTTAATAGTATTATACGAAAAATTCATAAATGCAAAGATTTGAATTTGAAACCTTTTCAAAAATCAATTATTTCTAAAAATTCATGCTTTAATGCTTTTAATATTAAAATTATTATGCACAATTTTAGCCAAAATTCATTTTGAAATAAATTTTTATTAGAAAATTCTATACGAGAATTCAATTATTTAAATACAAAACTAAATAATTTATTGAATAGTTTAATGTTTCTTAAAATTTAATTTTTATGAAAAATTTTATTAACAATTTTTCCAAATAATTAATTTCTTTTATGGAATTTAATAATTAAAATTTTACAAAAATTTATTGAATTAAAGAATTTGATCACATTTGTTGAAAACAATTGAAAATTTTTGAAGAATTTTATTAAAATTTTTAAAAATAATTGAATTCATGAGAAGAATTTAATTAATAATTTATGAAAATAATTGAATTCATAAGAAGAATTTTATTAAATTATGCATAAAATAATTGAAATTTTCACAAGAATTTTATTAAAACTTTTGAAAATAATTGACTTCTTGAGAAGAATTTCGCTACCTATATATTTATAAAAATAACTTAATTCTTGACGAGAATTTTGTTGTTTATCATAAGATAATTGAATTCTTTTGCAGAATTACTTAACATTTTTTTTTAAATAGTTGATTTTATGCGACGAATTAAAAGTTTTTCATACAAAAATTTGAATTTTTGAAACGACTTTTATTATTTTATTAAATAATTGAATATTTCTTAAAGTTGAATTCTTTTGTCAAGTTTTAATAAAATTTTTAAGAATAATTGCATTTTTCGAAGAATTTATTTAAAATTATATTAAAAATATTTAAAATTCTGCGATGAAATTAATTGAATTCCTAAATGAAATTTTATTACTTATGAAAACAATTGAATGTTTTCGAAGAATTCTATAAAAAATTTTTTTCAGTAATTAAATTTTTAAATAAATTTTATGAAAATAGTAAATATTGAAAATTATTGAATTGCGAAAAACTATTGAAACTAACTGAAATTTTCCAACGAATTTTATTTAAATTTTTAAAAATAATTGAATTTTTGGCGAAAGATTATGCTATTTATAACGATAATTTAATTCTTGGCGAGATATTCCTTAAATTTTTTTTAAATAATTGAATTTCTTCGAAGAATTTTATTACTTTTGAAAATAATTGAATTCTTGTAATGAATATTGTTATTCATGAAAATAATTTAATTTTTCAAAGATTTTTATTAAAATTCCTAAAAGTAATTGAATTTCTATGAAGAATTTTGTTATATTTATCAAGATAATTGCGTTAAAACTTTTGAAAGAATTGAACAATATTTAAAAATCCATTATGGTGAGAAATAGAAAAAAAAATTTTTTCCAGTACTTTTAATAAAAATTCCTGACTTTTCCCTGATTTCCCTGATCTGTGGCAACCCTGATAAATTATCGAGTTTTATAATTGAAAAAAAAGAAGGGAATTATTACCTTATCGTAGCCAATGTGTGGATTAAGGGCAGTGACTAGCATGAGACTTTCATTCATAATTTTGTCAATATTATCTCTATTTGCTTCAATGCCTGCGACACAATTTTTCGTGAATGCAGCACTTGCATCTCCCAATAATCGAGCTGATCTCAAAGTATTTGCGACAATTACTGGTTTAAAGACATTGAGTTCAAAATGTCCATTGCTTCCACCAACGGCTGTTGCTACATTATTTCCCATAACTTGAGCGCAAACCATCGTGATTGCTTCACATTGTGTTGGATTTACTTTGCCAGGCATAATCGAACTTCCGGGCTCATTTTCAGGAAGTGATAATTCACCCAAACCACATCGTGGACCACTGCCCAAGAATCTAATGTCGTTGGCAATCTGCAATTACAAAAATTAATTAATTAATCAAAGAAATATGTTTCAGAATTTCAATTATTTAATTTTTCATAAATTTTCAATCAATTAAAATCTTTATTAATTTTCACTTTTCATGAAGATTATAAAATCAGATAAAAATTTTAATTTTCAGTAAATTTTGAATTAAAAAACAAAATTAATTTTTATGAAAATAATCTTTATTTATTTTCATAATTTTCATTGAGATTAGAAATTTTAATTTCTAGAATAAATTTTGGATTGAACAATAAAAAATTATTTTTATAAAAAAATAATTTCGAAGGAAAATTTTTCAATTGTTTTTCCATTTAGATTTTTTTGGGCGTTTCAAAAATGTTGAAAATATCAAATAATCCAATGAATATTCGCATTCTAATGGGTTGGTCCCTTTCGAAGGGAAACTATTGGAGTGGGGGACCAATAAATTTGAAGAATACTCAATTAGCGAATCTTTGTAATTTGAGGAATACGTACAGGTCATTATGTTTACTTTTGAGAGAGGAGGGGAGGTTTTATTTCATACCTGAGCCAACTTTTGGAAAACAAACTTACAGTAATTGTCAGTTCTTCGTGATGAAAAGTCAGTGACACAAGTGTAGTTGAGGCCAAAATAATAAGAATTACAAATTACAAAACTACAAATCCAAAGTGTTGTTAATTAAAACAAGACTCATCCTAGACAAATACAGTTCGCCAATAAAAAAGGTTAGTACAAAATTGACTTTTTATACAATTACAGGAAAAATTTATTGTTCCAAGATTTGAATTTTTGATAATTTTATTATTTTAAAAGAAGTAATAAATTTTTTTTCCATAGACTACGCACTTTTCTCTAATATTTGTTTTCAAATTTAATTTTATCTTTAATTATTCTAAACATTGGCAAAAAAATGTGTACACATTCGTTTTCTTCTATTAAATTGAAAATTGTTTTTAAAACTTTCTTGACAATTTAAAAAATTTTAATATTTCAAAACTATTGTTAGAATTTTTATAAAAATACCTGAATAAAATTTTTTTTATTTATAATTTTTTTAATAGATCTTTCTTTTAATTTTAAACTAGCAAATTTTATGCGCTCGAATCGTAATATATTCAATTTATTATTATTAAGCAATTTTGAAAAATTTATTTATTTAATTCAAAATTAATTATTATTGATTACTAGTTTCAAAAATTCTAATAAAATTCTTCGAAAGAATTTAATTATTTTTATAAACAGTAAAATTCTTTGCAAAAGGTCAATTACTTTTAATACAATTTTAATAAAATTTCACGAGAGTAGGATTCAACTTTAATAAATTAATATTCAAAATTTAAAACATTCACTTATTAAATACCTACAAAATTAATTATTATTGTTTATTAGTTTCTAAAATTCTTCGGAAGAATTAAATTATTTTTCCAAACAGTAAAATTCTTTGCAAAAATTCAATTATTTTCAGTACAATTTTACGAATGATTCAATTATTTTTTTTTCAATTTTAAATAAAATTCTTTGAAAGAATTCAATTATTTTCTAAAACTTTTAAAAATTCTTGGAAACAATTCAATTAATTTTATAAATAGTAATATTTTTCCCTAGGATTTAATTATTTTTATAAATAAAAAAAATCTTTTTAATAATATAATTTAATAATCAAAATTTTAATTATATTTATTATCAGGCACAATTATTTTAAAAAGTTGAAAAAATTCCTTGTTTAATTAAATTATTTTTGAAATTTTCAATTAAAATAATCAAAAGAAATTATAGAAATTTTATTAAAATTGTCTTGAATATATAATTGGATTTTTTCCTAGAAATTTAATTAAAATTGTTATTGAAAATAATTGAATTTCTCAAAAGAATTTTATTAGGTATTTATAGAAAAAATTAGATTAAAATAATATTTAAAAAAATAATTGTATTCTTTCGAGAAATTGTATTGAAAATATTTGAATTCCTTTGAAGAATTTTATTATTTATGAAAATATATAAATTCTTGGAGAGAATTTTACAATTCATCAAAATTGTTGAAAATAATTGAATTTATATTAAAATTTTTGAAAATAATGGAATTCAATTATTTTCAATACAATTTTAATAAAATAATTCAATAATCACATTTTTAATTACAATTATTAGCAGGCACAATTATTTTAAAAAGTTAAAAAAAATTCCCTTTTTAATTAAATTATTTTCAAAATTTTTAATTAAAATAATTTAAAAAAAATACTTTATTTTGAAAAAAATTTTTAAAATTACTCAAAAGAATTTATTATTCTATAAAGAATTTTAATAAAACATAATGTAAAATTATTAATTATAATTATTAACAAAATGGATTATATTAGAAAAATTAATGAAATGTTTTGAAATAATTCAATTATTTGCAATATTTTAACAAAATTCTATGAAGGAATTAAATTATTTAAAAAAATTGTAATAATATTCTGAAAAGAATTTAATTACTTCCTAAAATTTTAATTAAAATTCAATAATCAAATGTTTAATTTAAATAATTAACAAATACAATTATTTAAAAAACTTGAAAGAAAGTTTTCATAAAATTCAATTACTTTTGAAATTTTTAATTAAAATTGTTAAGAAATCATTATTTTTAAAAAAATTCAAAGAAATTTTCCAAAATAATTTAATCAGGATTTTCCAAAATTTAAATGAAATTCTTCGCAAGAATTCAATTATTTTCATAATTAAGAAAATTTTTCGAAGAAAATTTAATTATTTAAAAATTTTTTGATAAATTTCTCTGCAAGAATTTATTAATTTTCAATACATTAATTTTAAAATTAATTGTAATTATTGTAGTTTTTTAAATTATTGATCGAATTTATTGAATTTCGATTTCTGTAAAAATGGAAAATCTTCCAAATTTTGAAGAAAGAAAATCTATTCATACAGAAAATGAAAATTGTATTACGAATTTTTATAATTTTGAATTCCACTTTCTGTAAAACTGAAAAAAATTGGAATTTTGAAGAAAGAAAATATTTTAGAGAAAATCTATCGACTTTAGAAAATTAAAATTGGAATTCTAATTTTTTAAATTGTTTATTAATTGAATTTCCGTAAAAATAGAAAAACGTGCAAATTTTAAAGAGAGAAAAATATTTTAGAAAAAATCTAGTGGCTTTAGAAAATTAAAAATTTCACTTTTTCTCTTGGATCAAATTTAATTAATATTAAAAATTCAATTTTTTTCCAGGTGTTTATATAAATCTACCAAGAACTGACATTTCAACAATATGCCAGGACTCGTTGATCCAAGATTAAATTCTCCCGCCTATAGAAGAAGATTACATCGTCCCGCACCAGGTCGTGAGGGACTTATTGTTTACGAAGCGCATTTTATTTGGGAAGCTTCAGCGGAACATCCGAATCGCGTTGAAAATTATCTATTCGGAAGAATAGAACCAATCGAAAGAAATCGAGTGCCTCAAAATTTGCCTGTTCCACGTTGGCGACCACAAGGACCTAATGCTGGCCAGGGTCCTGAACAACAACAACAACAACAACATCAACCACCTGCTCAAGAAGAACAAATTCCACGACGTCACGAACAACTATTTCAACAATTATCCAATCGTACGTTACCAAATAAAATTATCGAGGAAATCGATGAAATCGATCGATAAGGAAAAAAAAGGAAATAATTATTATTACTTCTTCATTTTCCAAAAATCCATTTTCAATTTTTTCATCAGTTAAATTTCACTTTAACTAATTAATTAATATTCAGAGGATGCTACAGATTCTTGATAACAAATGAAACGAGAAAATTAATTTGTGCCATATTCAAATTTTTGCTCAAGTGAATTTTGCATAAGAATTATTATGAAAATTTACCAATTTTTACACATAAAATTTCTCTATTTTCTTAATTAAACAAAAATTTATAAATTCTTTTTTTAAAGTACATAATTTTAAAAATTCGCATAATTTTTATGTATATGAAAAATCATGTCTTCATAAAAGAAAAGCGAAAAGTACGAAGCCAGTGTGATAAACAAAAAAAATGTAGATATTTTTCTTAATTTTTAGATTATTTAAGTAATTTAAAACGTTTTGTCGATATTTGTGTTAATGTGATAATAATTTTTCTATACCATTTGCTTATTATAGCTTTAGTATCCGTAAGTCTATAAAATAACAAAAATGTTAAAATAAATTTAATAATCAGCTTCATTACACTTTCTATGTGAAAAAGTTTGGATTTATGATAAAAGGCAATAAAAAAGATTTAAAGAGAAAATATTTCGTTTTCGTTAATTTATGATTTTTTTTAAATATTTCAGATTTTGCACTCGTTATTTAATTTTCAAAATGTTGCAAAAAATAGCTTTGAGACTAAAAAAGAAGTAGTAAAAAAGTAAACATAATTTTTAATAGAAAATAAAATTCTTGAAAATAGGTATCAAATTTATTTCAAATGTTGATAAAATTGTTTCAATTTAAAATGTGTTTTAAATTATTTTCGAAAATTCAGTTGTTTTGAAAAAAATTCTAATTCCAATTTTTCAAAAACCTACATTTTTTCAGAATTTTCTGAATTAAATTATTAAAAAATTCAAAATATTAAAATTTTCAATAATTTTATAGAAGAACATTTTTAATTTTAATTTTATTTCTAAAAATTACAACTGTAATTTTTCCAATTTTAATTTATTTTTCCAAAGTAATTCAATTATTTTAAAAAATTTTTTAAATAAATTATTCAGAACTTTAACAATTTTTTAGAAAAATAAGAAATTAACAATTTAAAAAGAAAATATTCAAATATTATTGATACTTTTCAAGAGAATTAAAATTTTCAAAGATTTCAATTTAAAAACCTTTTAAAATTTAGGTATTTCAAAAAATTAGAACTGAAATTCTTCTGAAATTCAATTATTTTTTAGAATTTTTAAATTTAATTATTCAAAACTTTAATAATTTTTTAGGAAAATAATATTTTTATAATTTTTTTAAATAGATACCTACTTAAATAGTATTATAGTTGGTGCAAAATATTGTTAGTTATTTTCACATTATTAGAAATTCAGTTTTTAAGAAATTTGCTGAAAAGATCAAAATATTGTTAACTATTTTGGTATCATTAGATTAATTATTTTATTAAAATTCTTTAAAAGAATTGAATTGTTTTGAAGAATTTATTTCAATATCCTTGAAAATAGTGAAGTTTTTTTAAAATAATTTTTAATGAAAATTTTGAAATAATTATGTTAATTTTTTGTTCTTTTAAATAATGACATTCTTTTTGAAGAATATCATTAAATTTCGTAAAAGTAATGTAATTTTTTAAAGTAATTGTAATTAAAAATTTTGAAAAAAAATTGAAATTTACATACAAAGAATTTTGATTAAAAACTTTTGAGAACAATGAATTATTTAGAAAAATTTTATTACAATTTTTAAAAATAATTGAACCTGTTAGAGAAATTTTATTAAAATTATCTTGAATATATATTTGAATTTTTTCCTAGAAATCTAATTAAAATTGTTATTGAAAATAATTGAATTTCTTAGCAGAATTTTATTATTTACAAAAATAATTGAATTCTTGCCAAGAATTTTACAATATTTATAAAAATAATTTAATTGTTTTGAAGAATTGTTGAAAATAATTAAATTTTTATTAAAACTCTTGAGAATAATTGAATTAAAATAATATTTAAAAAAATAATTGTATTCTTTCGAGAAATTGTATTAAAATTGTATTGAAAATAATTGGATTTCTTTGAAGAATTTTATTATTTATGAAAATAATTGAATTCCTTTGAAGAATTTTATTATTTATGAAAATATTTTAATTCTTGCTAAGAATTTTCTTATTTATGAAAATAATTAAATTCTTGCGGAGGATTTTACAATTCATAAAAATAATTGAATTGTTTCGAAGAATTTTATCTAAATTTTTGAAAATACATAATTGAATTTTTTTGAAGTTTAATAATTAATAAAAATTTGAAAAGTAAGTTCATACCTTCATGATAGAAACAGCAACAGTATTTAGAGCTCCATGAACTTCAACAAGAGCGTCGTGAGCTGCGAGAGCCTCAAATTTATTCGGGGCAGTGACGAAAGGATAACCAGTTAAAGCAGCAATCCTCGCGGCTGTTTTTTCCGCAAATCCTTTCCTAGTATTTAATCCCGTTCCAACAGCTGTTCCTCCCAGAGCCAATTGATAAAGTCTCGGCAATGTGTCCTTAACTCTTGCAATTCCATATTCAATTTGTGTTGCATATCCTGACAAAAGAAAGAACTATAGTAAGTATAAAAATAATCTCTATTTTTCATTACATATTTAAAATACGATTAATTAGAAAAATTACAAAATATTGAAATCTGGAAGAAATTATTAAAAATGTAATAATTAAAATTTCGAAAATGTAATGATTAAAAAATTCACCGGAGAATTCTTGACCGAGTGTCAAAGGAACGGCATCCTGAGTATGAGTTCTTCCAATTTTGATAATATCTTTCCATTCCTCGGACTTCTTTTTTAAGACTGAGTGCAATTGCTGCAGGCCAGGTAACAGAATTTTGTTGATTTCGAGTGCCACCGCAATGTGCATTGCCGTTGGGAAAGTATCATTCGAACTTTGCGACATGTTCACATGATCGTTTGGATGAACAGGATTTTTCGAACCAAGTTCACCGCCAAGAATTTCAATTGCACGATTCGCTATCACCTGTTTAATATTTTCTTTTATCGACACATTTCATTCCATTTCTAATTAGTGAAGTAATTTTTGTATAAAAAATAAAAATTTGTAAATATTGTTAAAACAATTATTGATGAATCATAAATTCAACAATAATTGTTGATAAATAAATAATATAATAAATTTTGATTATATTTTTGCTTCTTTTTTTAACAGTTGATTAGACTGTATTTTTTTTGGTGAAAAATTATAATACAAACCTCATTTGTATTCATGTTCGTCTGGGTTCCTGATCCGGTTTGCCAAATTACCAATGGAAAATGATCATGATATAATTTTCCACTAATCACATCGTCGGCAGCTTTGCTGATCGCATCAGATACTTTCGCATCCAGTCCAAATTCTTTATTCACTTCGGCAGCGGCTTTTTTCAAAATACCCATTGCGACAATAACACCATACTGAAAAATAAATCATTTCCCCTAATTATCTTAATTTTTCATTGTGATTTTTTGTTTCTTTTTTTATTCATTTGTCTTTTATTCTGATTCTCCTTTGGAAATTGGAAGTAATTAATATTCAAATGAATTCCACTATCAATGGAATATTTTATCCTACCGGCATACGTTCAAACGAATCACCAATTGGGAAATTCATAACCGATCTGAGAGTTTGAGCTCCATAATATTTATCGGCTGGCACTTTTAATTCTCCAAATGTGTCCCTCTCCATACGATAACCTTGAGCACCTTCCTGTGGGCAAGAAAAAAATGTAGTACATTAAATTGTCTTGAGATAAAGAAAAATCGCTATTTTTAATCTCTTTCTTTAATATTCAAATAGAAAATTCAAATAGAAAGAAAAGAAAAGAAGAAAGAAAGAATAGAACAGAAAATTTAAATGTAAGTAAAAGACACACCATTTTAAAATATAATGAAAGAGATTCGAAATTTTGTGAAACAAACAAGTTGATAGATGAGTTAATACTGAAAGCGACAAGTTTAGTTGCGTATGATAAGAGTGTGCTGTATGTGTGCGAGGTGCTTAAAATGATTACAGTTAAAGAAAAATAAGAGCAAAAAATTCTATTGACAATTTTTCCTGTTATTAAAAAGAAGCGGGGAAAATATTAATTATGCAAAGATAACTTTTACCTTACAAATTTAATTTCCCCAAAGGCAACAAAAATTTTTCATAAATGTAAATTTGTAAATAATAATAGTAAATTCGATACAATTAAGAATTAAGAGAATTAAGATTTAATTATAAAAAAGTACAAGATCTAATAAATAAAGTTAATTCACTAGATTATAAATATTTATTCTTCATTTATTATTGCAATTTTTTTACAAATTCCAACAGACTACAGTTAGAAAAACAATTGAAACTTTAAAATATAATACATTATTAATACGAGTTTTTAATTATTTTTCCATAAAATAAAAACCGCAATAATTACAAAATTTCCATGCATAACCTAAATAATTTTCAAATAAAACATCAAATTTATATTGAATATCTTAAAGATAATATTTATTTTCTACATATTGTTAAATGTTTATTTTAGGAAATTCAGGTATATATAACGATTATGTAAAGGTAGAAAAAAACTGTATCTCTAATGACTTCAAACAAGTTTGATTCATTTAAAATTCTAAACGACAATAATTCTCCATTGTCCAAAGAAAATGACAGTGCAAAAATGAAATATTTAATTAAATATTTTAAGTGAAAAGAAAGCAAATATTTATTACCTTTGCATAATTTCTAATTCTTGAATCTAGCATTGGGAGTTGTTTTGTTAGAAAATGTGATATTTCTTTCATTTTTTGAATATTACGGCCTCCTACCACTCCACATCGTAATACGTTGATTGACATTTTTCTATAATTGATAATCTTGATAATTTATTGTTGGAAATTTAAATAATTAATCTTATAAAACAATTATTTTGTTTTTGTAAAAAATAAAAAAAGTGTCTACTTGTAAAGTGAATGTTGTCTGCTATTTTCATGCGCATCTTTGACAGCTCCTGTAACCAATCATTTGTTATTATTCCACGAAAAACTTACTCTGATTGGTTATTTCCATCATTTGTTATTATTTCTGTTTTAGGTTAGAATATACAGAAATACTACATTTTCTCTTCATTTTCTATTAATAGAAAATTGAAAATTACTTCAAACTCTTATTTTATTGTTATTTTTGTCTTTATTCAAAATTTAATTTTGTTTGAAAATTAAATTTTTTTGTAGTAAATTTGAAAGTTGCGGAAAAACGACCTTTACTGAATTCTGATTGGTAGACGTACATACGTCAGCCAATCAAAAGGTAGTTTTCAAATCTCTTCTACACTAACCCATCCCTGCTATGCACTTGTGTGCACTTCATGCACTTGTAAATGCATTTGTATATCTGACACTTCTGTTTCGGTTTTTATCGAACTTTGTTTTTTAATAATAAATAAATTGTTTATTAACTATTTTAAAACGTGAAATAGTAGAGAAAGATTCAGGGTAATTAGTTTAAAATTATTGTTCGTGAACAATAATTACCGGTTGTTTTAAATGCAATGACAAAAGGTTGTCAAAACAGGTTTGACAGTGAGACGTGGCTCTAAATTTTATTTATTTACTGTGTTAAAAAATAATGTTAATTAAATAAAGAGGCTTAGAAATGCAAGATATTTGTGAAAATATTCGCACAGCAGTAGAACACGGTCGTACAGATATTATAAGATCTATACTAGACGCATGTAAGTATTGTATAACATAACCTCAAAAACTTAAAATTCTAAAAATAAATAATAAATGTTATTTGAAATTTCTATAAAAATTAACAGTTTATTATGACATTGAAACTTAATGTACAGTATACTTAGAGTATTATACATTATAATGTAATTATTATGGTGTAATAAATTAATTGTTTTGAACTACTTTTGTATAATGTATGTTAATAATTTTTAAATTACTACCAAGAAATTGAGTTCTCTTAATTAATAATTTACTTGTAGGTGATAATGGAAATGCTACCGATGGTATTACTAAAGATAAAATTTTAAATCAACCACTACTTGATGAAGGAACCTTCTTGTGTTATGCTTCCAAGGTAATAAACTAAACTTTTTCCTCTTTTTATAAAGATAAAGAGATATTCCTTTTATTACTAAACATATAATTTAAGATTTTTTAAAATAAATTCCCGTAGTTTCTAATTAATTTATAATTCATATAAATTATTTCAAGGCAAATCAAGTGGATGTCGTTAGAACACTATTAAGTTGTGGTGCCGACCCGGCGATTCAAAATGCGCAGGGTCATAATGCACTGGATGTAGCTTCCAGCGAAATAGTTCGTCATATTTACGTTGAAGAATTATTGAGAGCTACTGCAGCTTCTGAGTAGGTGGAAAAATCTCCCTTTTTTAAAAAAAAAATTTTTAAGTAGAGATATTTTTTAATAATTCTGATTTTTAGGATAGAAAGAGTTGAACAATTATTAGTCTCGGGTATAAATGTAAATTCCTGGGACTCTGAGGGCAGTAAAAATACTCCATTACACTGGGCTGCGTGTTATGGTAATAAAGAGATCGTCGCTTTTCTCATTGGTATGTTTTTTTTTCTTTTAATTTAAAGTTATTTTATTTTTATTTCAATTATTTTAAAATTATATTCTGTAAATAAATCATGACTTTTCTTTTTTTTTAAAAAAAGATAGAGGAGGTGACGTAAATTCCCAAAATGGTTGTGGAGCTACTCCCCTTCATGATGCGGTGAATCGTGGCGATGTCATAATTTGTGAAGAATTATTATGCTCTGGAGCAAATCCTCTCATTCGTGCAGTTAAAGGGTATAAATAATTTTTAAAATTACATTATTACATTAATATTAGAATCTACATTAATAATCGTTGTATTTTGGTAATATGTTCACAGTTTAAACAATTATAAATTTTTGAATAATTCCATAATCAAAATTTAAAAAACTTCCGTTATTAAGTAAAAAATTAATTATTATTGTTTATATTTTCAAAAATTTAAGTATAATTCTTCGCAAGAATTCAATTATTTTCATAAATAATAACATTCTTCAGTAGAATTCAATTATCTTTATAAATAGTAAAATTTTTTGCCAAAATTCAATTTTTTAAAAAAATTAATAAAATTTCAGAAAATAATTCAATTTTTTTCTTAATTTGTTATAAAATTTTTCAAAAGAATTCAATTATTTTCTAAAATTTTGAAAAATCCTTTGAAACTATTCAATTATTTTTAATACAATTTTTAAAATATTTCATAAAAGAATCCAATTTTTTAAAAATTTTTAATAAAATTTCACAAAAGAATTCAATTATTTTTTAAAATTTTAATAAATCTTTCACAATTTAATTATTTTTTTTAAATATAGTGAAATCTTTGCAAAAATTCAATTATTTTCTAAAATTTTAATAAATCCTTCGTAACAATTCAATTTTTAAAATTTTTTATTAAAATTATTTTAGAAAATTGTAATAAAATTCTAAAAAAAATGTTAATTATTTTCTAAAAATTTTAATAAAATTCAATAATTTAATTATTTAATTTCAATTATTAAGAAACGCGATTATTTTAAAATCTTGAAAGAAATTGTTCATATAATTCAATTACTGCAAAAATTTCCAATTAAAATTATTAAAGAAACTCCATTATTTCAACTAAATTGAAAGAAATTCTTCAAAAGAATTTAATTAGGATTTTCAAAAATTTTAATAGAATGAATTTTACCATTTATAAAAATAATTTAAATGGTGGAAGAATTTATTATAATTTTAGGAAAAATTGAATTGTTTTGAAGAATTTTATAGAAATATTTGAAAATAAATAAATTCTTTCGAGAAATTCAATTAACGTTAAATATTTTAATTCTACCGAGGAATTTAATTAAAATTGTTTTAAAAATAATTGAATTCCTGTAAAGAATTTTACTATTTATAAAAATAATTCAATTCTTGCGAAGAATTTTGCTATTTATAAAAATAATTAAATTCTTTCATGAAAATTTAGAAAAAGTTTAGAAAATAATTGAATTCTTTCGTAAAATTTTATTAAAATTTTAGAAAATAATTTAATTCTTTCGTGAAATTTTATTAAAATTTTGTTAAAAATAATTGAATTTTTGCAAAAAAATTTACTGTTTATAAAAATAATTGAATTCTTCCAATGAATGTTATTATTTATATAAAAATAATTGAATTCTTGCGAAGAATTATATTAAAATTTTTGAAAATTTAAACAATAATAATTAATTTTGTACCTAATAAGTAAATTTTTAAAATTTTGATTATGAGAATATTTTAAAATTTATATTTGCGAAAATAAAATATTTTGTAATTTGCATAACAATAATAAATTAAATAACATGTTCCGCGCGCGTATAATTTGCTAGTTGAATAATAAAATAACTGAAAATTTACTTTTAGACAATTCACGGGAAAAACTCCGTATGATCTTGCACGGATTAATCCTGCCTTAAGAGCCTTATTTCAAAAATTTGTGCCTAATTCATTTTCAAAAGAGTGCGAAGCCTTGCACAGTCCGACGAAACAATTTCCCGATGTTAATTTCACACAACAAACAGTCTCTGTACACACCAGTCAACCTTCGTTGGAATCAAATAAATCTTCGGAGCCAGGATACGAAATTTCCAATCGAGAATCGAGCATTGAAAGTCCGCTTAGATCGATAGCGAATAAAAATGGAATTTATAGTCTTCTATGGCCCGAGCCAAAAACAATTTTAGAACTTGGAAATTCATCTTCGCCATTCATTGTCGGCAAGGAGCTCTTTATTTCTATAATCCAGGTAAATTAATGCTCATCTTACGTTCTTTACTGCACAATAAGTCTTTCATATTTAGTATTATTATTATTTTATCTATTGTTTATTTTTCTAAAAATTAAATTTACGAATAAATTAAATTAAAATTTTTAATTAAAATTAAAATTTTTTAATTAAATTTTTGAATATTTCCAGGGTACCGAGTCGATTCATAAAATTCTCGATGTTTGGGAAATAAGTAGAACGCATTTATTGGAACTTGGATTTGATGTGAAAATTGGCGAGGTTCAACCGCCATCGGGAAGATGGTTGGCCGACAATAGAATTGAATGTATTGTGAATAAGAAATTATTTAACGTACAAGAAGGTTATCAACTTCACATATCACAGAATGCAATTAAAATAAGCGCTGGAAGTTTAGCAGGTTTACATTATGCCGTTTGCACATTTGTACAAATTCTTAGACTGAGTCGAAATCCAAATGCACCAGAGGTTTGTGAACTTGAAAGTGTCATGATAAAAGATGAACCACGTTTCAAGCATCGTGGAATATTACTTGACATCTCGCCAAGGGGACGTATTCCCACATTGGAATATCTATTGCACATGATTGATCTGTGGTCGGCCTTTAAAATATCGCATTTACATTTATATTCAAGACTGACGCCAAGCTATGATTGGCAACTTTGTTACTCGAGATCGGAAATGGTCACTCTCGATCGGTACTGCAAGTAAGTATTTAATAAAATAAATAAAATTTAAATTTAAAAAACATTTATAAATGAAATTAATTTCATTTGTAAAATTTAGTTATCAATATTTTGAAATTAAAGGAAATTTCATTTATAAAATTTAAATATTATGATATTAATATTTCGAAAATAAATTTGGTAATTGAAATTAAAGGAAAGAATGAAATGATTTTCAGAGATCGTCATTTGGATTTAGTGCCGGCACTGGATGTTGATTCGAATGTGACGCAGCGTCATCTCTCGCAAATGTGGCCGATTTTTCAGGAGTTACTGGCAACATTTCCAAGTTTAAGTTACGTTCACGTGGGACCAAGATTAGCTAGCTTGTTAGTGCAACCAGACAATTTAGATTTAAATGTCTCGATTAACGAGACTGTTGAGACTGATATGTCGGAAGTATTCAAATCCTACTCGTGTTTACAAGAACTTTGGCACATTTTAAATTTGAACTTTGATACTACTTTGCTACTGTGTTCAAATGGTCTACATTCCAAGGTGGAATTCCGGAGCGTTTCTAGTAATGTGATTTTAGTTGAATACGGTTTTCAGGTGAGACTTTTAAAATTGTTATTATTATTATTATTATTATTATTATTATTATTATTATTATTATTATTATTATTATTATTATTTTAAAATATTTATTTTTTAGAATTTATTTCTATATTTTATTATATATTTTACACATTTCGCACTCATCTACCAAAAACTAATATTTACTACTTTTTTTACGATTTGCTATTGTTTTGATACTTATTTTCTCACTAAAAGCTACTTTTTTATTTTTTCTCGAGAATTTGCAATACTTTAAATTCGCTAATAGTTGAACCCAAAAAATGTTTTCAAAAATTTTAATAAAATTCATAGAATTAATTCTAAAAATTTTAATAAAATTCTTTAAAACAATTCAATTATTTTCAGAAATTTTTCAAGATTCAATTATTTTAAATATCTACTATTTTAATAAAAATTTCCCAAAAGAATTCAATTATTTACACAACATTTTGCTAAAATTCTTCGCAAACATTCAATTATTTTCATAAATGATATAATTTTCACAGAAATTCAATTATTTTCAAATTTTTTGATAAAAATCTTTGCAAGAATTCAATTATTTTCATAAATACTAAAATTCCTCTAAGAATTTCAGTTATTCACAAATTTTTTGATAAAATTCTGTTATTTCTGCAAAGAATTTAACAATTTATAAAAATAATTGAAATGATCGAAGAATTTATTAAAATTTTAGGAAAAATTAAATTGTTTTGATTAATTAATTCAATTAACGTTGTTTCGAAAATAATTGAATTTCTGTAAAGAATTTTATTAAAATTAAGCATATTGAAAATAATTGTATTCATCAGAAAAAATTTATTATTTTTTGAAAATAATTGAATTCTTTTAATTTTTTTGACAAATATTTTTAAAAATTGCATTTATAGTAATTTAATTTTCATATAGAATTTTTTAAAAATATTTTGAGAATAATTGAATTATTTTTAGAGAATTTTAAATTCTTGTTGAAATTGAATTTTATGAAAATTTTTGAAAATAATTAAATTCTTTCGTGTAATTTTATTTCAATTGGATTAAAAATAATTTAATTCCTGCAAAGAATTTTAGTATTCATAACAATAAATTTTGTCATATTTAATTGAAAGAAATTAAAGATGTTAAAGAATATAATTTTTTTACTTTTAAATATTATTTTCAAATAAAATCGTGTTTTTGAAGAATTTTAAATTAAAATTTAGAAAATAATTGAATTTTGCAAAAATTTAGAATTGAAATTAATATCAGGATAATAAAAGAAAATAAATATTTTTGATGAAAATTAGGAACGAGTGAGAAAGAATAAAATACAGAATCAAATCTTTGTGAATCGTCTAAAAATTTTTTTAGTCGTTAAGTTTAATTTTTCGATAGCTACTTTTTTTCAATCGTTATTTCGCTATTTTTTTAAAGGTAATTATCGATTGCGAAGCCAGATTTTATTACAGACATATTTTGTTATATTATTATGTTTTATTGCATTTTTATTATTTATTATTAAATTTGAAAAATTCCATTTCAGTCAGATTATGATTTTTCTGAATGGACTGAGCCATTTCGAGTTGCTGGAGGAAATGTTCTTCCAAGTTCAGGAACTGCGAGTTACAATAGTCTTGCCGGTTGTCCGGCTTCGACTTTTGCAAATACGAAAAATGCAGTGAAAACGGCAATGGAACAAGATTCAATTGGAATAATTGTGGCTCATTGGTCGGGAAGTCATCATTTGACTCCTCATACATTTGCGTGGGTTGGATATCTAATTGGAGCTGGATTATCGTGGAATCCAGCGACTGAAATTGACATGGGATTCACCGAAACCTGTGATAATTTCGAACAAGTTGGACCACTTAAGCGTCAGTAAGTATTAAAAAGAAATAACTTTAAGTAATCAAAAAAATAAATTTTGTTAATTAAATCAATTAAGAAATCACTTTTATGAATTAAATTAATTAAAAAATACCTTTAATTAATTAAATTAATTGAAAAAATATAATTTTTTCAGTTGTAGGTCACTAAGCAAATTATTAGACTCACACGTATTTTACGATTTGGAATTCAGAATAGGAAGTGCAATTTTGGAATTAGGACGTGTCGATACATTTGTTTTAATTTTAAGTAAGAATCAAAGTGCTGATGACCTGCAACAAATACCTGACAATAGGGGGTCAACTTTATACAGATTGTTAACTGATCCCGATAATGTTAATTTAGAATATCTTTCAGCTGATTTGTTTTTGGTAAGTTTCCATTTGTTTTCTCTAATATTTTATTTGCAAAATAGCAAAGTTTCTAATTTTTAGTTATAAATTATAAAACAATAAGTTTTTTAAAATGAAATGTTAATTCTCTAATTTTATTTGCAGAAAATGACGAAACAAATAAAACGAGTTTCCCATTCGCTTTATGAGGGAAATGTGACTGCTAAATTCGCCTCGATGGAAATGCAGGAACTTCAATTGACCGCGGATCTGATGTTGACGGCTTGTAAAATAGGAAGAACGTTGATCGGCGTTGGAGTTAATCCAAACAGCAATATGGGATTAGCAGTGATTAATTTAGGTATCAGCAATTTACCACCAACTTTTCGCACAGACGTTGCAAATAAAATGCTGGCTCACATTGAACAGTATAAGGGTGCCTGGCTACAGAGACACCTTCCACAGGGTCTTCAAAGCTCATTATTGGTATTAACCAGTGCTTTGCATAGATTTGTGCCTGAGACGTAAATTCTTGTTTTTTTTCCTAATAATCTTAAGTTCACAGGGTAGATGTGATCAAAATTTAAATACTAAGTTTAGTATTGTTTTTTTTTTTTTTTAAAGAAAAAAGTTCCTATTTAATAGAGTTTTTAAGTTTAACAGAAAATGATTAAAAAAAAGACTTCAAATTTTTCAAAATGACAACGTATTTATTAGCCTAACGTCGATGAAATTTGTACAAATATAGTCAGAAATTGTCGCTGACAGTTTTTCTAAATAAAATAAAAAAAAATGTTCTTTTTTACATTGAGTTAATAAAAAATTTTTATATTTGTTAGGCAATAAATTCTTTGTATTTTATAATTTGTATTCAATTATATGAGTACAATAAAAATAGAATATTTATGGTATATATTTTTTAAATTGATTTTTAAATATATTGCTCAACTTGAAGCAAGAGACACAGCAGTTGGACGTCTTCACCTTGAACGTGTAGAAAAAAATTTTGTTTAGTCCATTTGGCTTAATTGCTTTTTTTTTGTTAAGGCTTTCCACAAATCACATTAAATCGTGTGTACTTGAAGCGGTGCAACAATACATCAAATTTTTTTCCAGGCTTTCACGACTGGAAATTACATAAAAAACATTGACAGTGAATTTCTCAAATATGTGAGGGAAAATATTATAGTTTTATAGAACTGAATGTTACCTCATTTTTTTCTATGAGATTATTTTTATTGCGTTCTGTCCAACCACCCATTTCGAGGTCTTCTCTTCTTAACATATCTTCTTCGGCGGCTCTCACTCGATAGTATTCGTCAATTTCAAACTGATATTTTGGTGTTGTTATGCCAAAAAATTCAGCTAAATGTTCTCCAACATAATCGCAGCCGTCTAAAACTTTTCCACTTGCCCAGGTTGTTTGGTACCACGCCCAGGGCAACCAATTTAACGTTTTCTTTAAGAAAAACAATTTTTATTAAAATTTCATGAAAGAATTCAATTTTAAAAAAATTTTTAATAATATTTTCCGAAAAAATGCAATTATTTTCTAAACGTTTAATAAATCCTTCGAAACATTTCAATTATATTTATAAATAGTAAAATTCTTTTCAAAAAGTCAATTATTTTCAAAAAAAGTTAACGAAAGAATTCAATTTTTTTTAATTCGTTATAACATTTTTCAAAAGAATTCAATTATTTTTAAAAATTTTAATCAAATTCAATAATTAAATGTTTATATTCAATTATTAACAAACGCGATTATTTTAAAAACTTGAAAGAAATTGTTCATAAAATTCAATTATTTTCAAAATTTTTAATTAAAATTATGAAAGAAACTTCATTATTAAAAAAAAATTCATAAAAATTCTTCAAAAAGAATTTAATTAGAATTTTCAAAAATTCTAACAAAATTCTCCACAAGAATTCCATTATTTTCCTAAATAATAAAATTCTTCGAAGGAATTCAATTATCAAAGTTTGTGATAATTATGCAAACAAAAAAATAAAAATTCTTACTGGATCAACAGTTGAAATTTGTTTCTTCGGACAATTATCAACTTCATCTTCTGAAGAATATTCCTCGAGAACTCCGTCGGAAAATTTTAATACTCTCTTTGGTTGTTTCTTCAAATCAACATGTGTCATCTAACAAAGAGAGAAAGTAAATTGAATAAAATGTTATATGATGACTGAATCGTAGAGACAAAGAAAATTGTATTTATTTTCACTTCGGAAAATTAATATTTATTTACGGAATAAATCCAATTTTTCCCGCACAGTATTAAATGGTATTGTTATTAAATATTTGCTTTATATTATTGTTCAAGGTAGTCCTTGAAATATTCGTTCAATAATTTTCTATCTATTCTTTACTTCTATAAATAAAAATGATAATTTTTAACCTCTTTTTCCTGTTCTTGGAGAATGACACTTTGAAGATCACAAGTTTCACCACTTGGCGTAATCATTTTTTATGTTATTTGGTAAAATCAGTATTAAACAATATTAAATTTTCATTAAATTAATTGGTAAATTATGTTTTCTTATTTTTGTTTTGACAGTTCGTAATAAACACCTGTTCTCATTTGCTGTCATTTGCTTTATGACGCAGAATGCTTGTTTCGAAATATCACCGCGAACATGGTGGCGCTACGTTCGAAAGTACAATCGATCTTTCGATATATCGTTTGCCCCTCCATGCTGCTAGCAGCAAACTTCAAGTCGTGAGGTCTAGTGGCCACACCCTGCTTCGAAGCGCGCCAACGAAGTTACTTGTCTTTTTGGAACAAACTTTTTGCTCGTTTCTTTAACAAATTTATCGTTTTAAAAGTCTATTTAACTTGTCGAAAGTGTGTTTTAAACGTTTTTTTTATTGCTACTCGTAAAATATTAGATTTTTTGAGTTAAAAATTCGACGCCAAACGCGTTAATGTCGGAATGTAACATGCTTATTTTTTCTACTCGGAAAAAGTTCGGGAATACCACGTGAATCTTTTATTATTTTCGTTTTTTAAAGTATAATCAGTATAATTATTTAAATATTTAGTTAACTTTCGATAAATTTTTCTTCGGATTGTTCGTTTTTTGAGTCTCGTGAATTTGTAAATTTGAGGTTAAATTGACTTCTTTGTCGTAAATGCGTGTGGCGTGCGCTAAAGTTACTGGCGGTTATTAATTATATGTATTTGTAATAATTTTTCGAGCAGTGGTGTAAATTTTGCGATACTTTATCAAACGGCAATTTACGTGTTATTATTTATCGAAATATTGGGCAGTAATTTATTCATTGTTAGGTATTCACGTGTGTTGAGTGTTCCAAGTGGAAAAGTGTTGCAGGCATGGAAAAAGATCGCATAGACAGTAGAAAGCAGTTCATTGTAATTCTTTCGCATTTTTTTTACTTGAATATTTATATTTAAACAAATACTTTAAACCATTAAAGTTGCATATTAACTATACATATTTTTTCCTTTACAGGCATTTTGGATAATACGATAAAAGACAAAAGGGAATAATAACCTGGTTTGAGTTGCAAAAAAAGATCTGAAGGTTAGTTTGTCATTGCTTTGATGTCGATTTCAGCAAAAAAAGTTAGTGTATTTTTTATATATTTATTATATTTTAGAAAAGAAAGCAATAATAGTGACACTATTGACGGACAATTTCAGTATTAATTTCTGTAAGTACAGAAATTGTTTGTCAGTTTTATTAAAGGGCTAAACAGTGCTAAACAAAATTTTGATTGGAGTAAATTGTTTATTATTAACTAAGTTCATTATAAATGTCACTATATTGTTAAACAATTGAATTTAAACAATTTCTTTTGTTGATTTTCTTTACTTTTTACGTATTGAATCGCTGTTATTTTAAAATTAATTTTGAAATCTTTTTTTAAAAAAAAAAGATTAAATGTTTTTTGGAAAAAAATATTTTTTTAAACTATTAAAATATTTTGTAAATTATATTTTTCAATTTTAAAAAATTGTCCCTTTGATTCGCGGTTCTTTTTGATAAAATCGTATCGGCGTAAAATAACGCAATCCTCTTACTCTACCCAACCTTGAGAATATTTTCATTTATAGCAGTTTAGTTCTGAAGAAATCACTTATATTTATCATATGAAAATAATTATTTATGTAAAGACAATTTTGTTATCAAATATATTTTATAAATTAATTTATAAAATAATTTTCTAATTTAATTAAATTAATTTATAAAATAACTTTCTATTTTAATTAATTAGAAATTAATTCATTAATACTAATAATAAAATATTAATTTAAAAAAACAATTAAAAACAATAATTTTTATTATAATAGTTGCAAACAATATTTGAAAATAATTCTTAACTATATATAGGAGAAAAATTCGTTTTGCTAAAAATATAAATTTCGATAAATGAAGTTGAAAATTTAAATAAATAAAAATGCTTTAAAAATTTCCATATAATTTATTTTAATATTCAACAGACAATAATTTTCTACAACGGTTTATACATAAAGAAAAACTGTACAAATTTTCCTAAAAGCCTAAACTGAAAATATTAATATAAAAGCATTTTGTATTCTGCTCCATTTGCTGAAAATTTTATTTAAAAAGAATTATTTATGCACATTTTTTTACAAATTATCTTTCTTCTTGTAAATAAAATTCAAAAATTTATTTCTATTAATAATGAAAATTGATAAATTATCAGCAATTCAATTTTTTCAAATTAATGTTCTCTGAGTATTTATAAAATTCTATTTCATTTAAATAGTTTCTTTAGGGCAAACAAAATCAATATTTGACTCGAAAAAATAAATTTTCAACGTAAAATGAAATTTTAATTTTTGAAAAAATTTGTTTTTCTCTCTCAAAAAGGAAGCGTTTATTTTTGTGAAATATTAAAAGAATATTTCCATTTGCAATTAAAAAATTTATTTAAAATATTTAAAAGATTTGCTGTAATTTTTAAAAAAGTGTCCAAGTGCAGAGAAAAAAATATCTCAAAATATTAAAAATAATCTTAAAAAGAACAAAAAAAATTTTGTTGTCTCAATAAAATATTTGATTGTAAGAAACAATAAGTTTTTCTTTTTCGAGACTATTTTAAATAAAAAAATCTATTTTTCAAGCACCAAAGAATCAAGTATTACAAGTATAAATATTAATTTTAACATTTATTAACAATAATAATCATATAATATCCTAGTTTATATATATTCTCAATATGAAAACAATTAACGTTTTATTAAAAAACAAATAAACTTTACAACAATGCTTTTTGCGGATTCATTTGCTAAATTCATTTTTTTTCCTAAAATGGAAGCACTATTTTTTTTTTTATATATAATTTTTGTATATTTCAATCGATGAAAGTATATTTATAGCAAAAAAGTAATTAATTATCTTCACTGTTCCTAAAATTGATAACATTTACTCCGAAATGTTCGATGTTTGGACCTTATATAATTAATGTACATTTGATAAGGCTTTAATATAAATGACAATGATTGCATCTTGTTCTATATTTATAAAATTTAACTAATTTTTTTCCTTAATTTTCGCATTTGAATATTTTTTATTGACACGTTTTTTCGTAGATATTTGAAATTAAATTTTTAAAAATCGTCGGACATTTGGAAAAATTCTTTATTCATTAGTGCAAAGAATTATAGTCATTAATTCGCTAATTTGTCATTATTTCGCTAATTAGTCATTAATTCACTAATTAGTCATTAATTCACTAATTAGTCCTTAATTCACTAATTTTTCATTAACTCACTAATTAGCCATTAATTCACTAATTAGTCATTATCTTTAACTTAATTACTAATTAAATTATTTATTATTCAATTTATTTTTTATTCAATTCCTCGCTTAGTTTATTTAAATAGAACCTTTAAAAAAAAGACTGTGAGAAATATTCGCTTTAAAAATTTACAAAATTTCTACTCTATTTTCTTTCGAATTCTGACGACTTGTAAATTGCGATATTGGACAAAATTATTAATTGACTTCTATAAAATTGTTCGTCTATAAATAATTACATTTGCGTTATTTGTTTCGTTCTTTCGTTTTCTTCTCCGAAATTCATTATACAAGTTTAGTCTTTCATAGATATCTTGTATCTTAAATGATTTGATATTCAATTCAATTCAATTCAATTCAATTATTCACTTTTCATTTAAGAAAAAGTTTCTAAACTTTTGTGTTTGTGTGTTTGTGTGACGACGAGACTGGCTCGTTAAGGAAAAATCTCTTCTTTTTTAATTTGAAAAATTTTATTCCATTGTTAGGAGAAGATCTTCGCCTTCTAATTTCATTCCTTGTGTGATGTCGAGGGTTTTTATTTTTCCTGCTTTTGGTGCTTGGACAACCATTTCCATTTTCATTGCTGATAGTACAACTAGAGCTGCTCCTTTTTCTACTGTATCGCCAACTTTCACCCTGATGTCAATTACTGAGCCTGGCATTGGTGCGCCAACTTGACTTTTATCTGCTTTGTTGGCCTTTGGATGGAAATGAAGTTCCTGAAAAGAGAATATTTTTTTTATAAAAAAATATTGTTTCGAACTGCATGGAAATTGTGAGAATATTCTATGAATAATTTATTATTCGCTGTATTTTATTTTCTATTTATTGTTTTTTTTTATTTATTTCTATTTATTATTTTGTATTCGGGCCTCAAATAGAATGAATATTTGCATTTTTTTCAACTTATTTTAAAAGAATCGACTTTTTCTTCCAAATACTACAACAAAATTGGTATTTTGTTTCGTATAAAATCCAACTTATTTCGATTTCCATAGTGTGAAAAATAATTATAGGCAAATCTTTCAAAAACTATTTTTAAATATTTTTTTCAGACAATTATTAAAGTTATTTAAAAAATATTTAAATAACTGAAATTTTGTAAAATTTTATTGAAAATAATGATTTTTTAAAATTACTTTATCAAAATGTTTGAAAATCAATTTTCAAAGAACTTTATTGGCAAGTTTGGAAAAGAATTGAATTCTCAAAAATTTTAATTAAAAATATTCGAATAATAATTGAAATGAAATGAATTAAATTTTGAACTTAATGAAAATCAGGTTAAAAAAATTCTATTAAAATATTTTTAAAAAGTATTTCTTAAAATTTTTTGATTTATAATTTTTTTTAAATTCAATTAACATTAAAATTACAATAAAATTATATTAAATAATTTTATTAAATAGACTCTGACCTTCATCTTTTTTTCAGCAGCTAGTCTTCGTTGCTAAACGTAATAGATCAGTACATTCTCAGCCTAAAATAAGCATTTGATTTTTCTACTTTCTTAAATATTTTTTTCTTCTTTCAATATCTTTTTTTTTAGTTTATTAATGTTATTGTTACCAATCAATGGTTCACTAGAGCCGCGGGTACATGTATATATTAAATAAATTAAGTAATTAATATTTTCATTTACATATTTCCGAAAATTCAAATAACAACAAATAATTACTTTAAAATTAAAGAAAAATATTTTCTAAATTTCTATTAAAATTATTATAAAATTTTTGGTGAAATCAATCTTTTTTCAAATATTTTAATTCAAATTCTCCGAAAAAATTAAATGTTTTAAAAGTTTTAAACTTTTCTATAAGAACGTTCGAAATTTTAGGAAAATAAAAATTGATTCGTTTTTTTAAATTGTCCAAAAATTTTCTTTAAAATTTCAATTACTTTCAAAAAATTACATTACAATATTTTGAAAAAACTATAATACTTAAAATTTCTTTATCATAATTTTTTTAAATTAATTTTTGTTCAAGAAATGTAAATTAGAATTTTCAAAAAGTCAATTTTTTAAAACTTATCATTAAAATTTTTGAGACATCATGTATTTTCATAATATTGTAATTAAAATTCTCCAAAAACTTGATTATTTTTTAATATTTTCCAAAAATTCTTCTAAAAAATCCAATTATTTTCAATAAATTTTAGTAAATTTGTATAAATAATTTTTTTTATAAATAAATATTTAATTTCTTTTAATATTATTTTGCCACGAAAATTAAGATTTTCAAAATTTTTAAAATTTCAAATATTCTGAAATTCAATTATTTATAAAAATTGCAGACAAAATTATTTTAAAAATCACGCCAGGGAAATTTACAACGTTCATGATCAACGAATGAAAGAATAAAAAAAATTTTTTTTTAATCGAAAACTAATAAAATTTGTTATTTTTAAACATGAAGGATTACAATTACAATTATCAAAAACTTGAATTTTTGTATTTAAATAATTGAATTCTCGAAGAACTTTTAGAAAAAGTTAAATAATTGATAGAAATATTTATTTTGAGAAGAAATTTAGTGAAGTATTCTAGAAAATAATTAAATACTCTGAAAAAAATTTATTTGATTCAAATAACCGATTACTTGTCTATAAATATTTACTTGAATCAAATAATTTTTATTTAAAGCAAATAAATTTGAACCAATAATTTCACTATTTGAAGCAAATACCATTTTATTGACTCAAAAATTATTTGATTCAAGTAAATATTTAAATATCATCATTTAAATATTTACTGGAATCAAATAATTTTTTTTTGAGTCTATTTAATTATATTTGCTTCAAATACTAAAATTTTGGTTCAAATAATTATTGGCTTAAAAATTATTTGATTCAAGTAAATATTTATTTGCTAATTGACTATTAATTAGTCAAGTAATCGATTATTTGAATCAAATTTTTTTCAGTGTATCAGAAGGTTTGAAATTGAAATTTAAAAAATTTTAATTCGTGTCGAAAAAAATTAACAAGTATTTAAATATTTTTGCAAAAAAATTATTAAAGTTCTGAATAAATGAATTTAGAAATCGGTGAAAAGTCAAGGAAACAGAAAATGAAATTTTTGTTACAACACTGAATAAAATAAATAACTTTTTCGATTTTTTTTTTGTATCTTTAGTCGACGATAGCGACTTTTTTTTAATGCCTTGAAGTCGATTCGAAGACTAAATAATTTTTTGCTATTTATTATTTACTGTATTTATTATTTTCTTATAAATATCATTACGTACCTTAACAGCTTCTTTATCCTTGATGAAGACTGATCTCAATTGACCGTTCATTTCAAAGAAAACTTCTCGTTCTCCATTAGCCGTGAGATCTTCGCACATTGCCAGCGTCTTGATACCCAATGTTTTTCCCTTTTCGATCGTCACGTCAAATTCCTCGCCAACTTTAGGCCCGGTCAAGAATATCCTCGTGTCAAGTTTGTCGACAGGTCCAAAAGATTCCTTAAACGTAAGATAATCATTCGTCACTTCAGGATAGAGAGCTGCAGACATGACGTCCCTGTCCGTAGCCTGTGGATGCAATTCTCTAACGTCCTTCTTCACTTTCTCAAAATCGAGCGGTGGAAGATTTGCTCCAGGTCTTCCTTTCACTCGTGGCATATCCTTGAGGACTTTGGATCGTAGAGGTTCAGGAAATCCTTTATACGGTTCTCCAATTGCTCCCTGAAGGAATTCGACAACTGATTTTGGAAATGATAACTCTTCAGCTTTACTGAGAACATCGTCGGCTGTTAATTTGTTCTGAACCATGAACTGTGCGAGATCACCCACGACTTTCGAACTGGGAGTCACTTTGATAACATCGCCAAGGAGGATATTCGCTTCACGATAGGCTTTTTTCACGTCCTCGAAGAATTCCCCAAGACCTAGGGAATAGGCCTGGAATTGAAGATTCGTGTATTGTCCTCCGGGAATTTCGTTGAGATAGACGTCGGCATTGCCTGATTTCATTGTTGTCGTGCACTCGAATGGAGCGTACAGGGTTCGTGTCTGCTCCCAATAGGCTGAGTACTCCGAAATGTCACTTAGTTCCAAATTCGTGTCCAGTGGTGTGTCTGTAAATTTATTTATTTTCGTTAGCAAATATTTTTTGGAAAACAAATTGAATTTTAGGGGTACACGATCAGGGTTGCCACAGGTCAAGGAAATTATGGAATTCAGGGAAAAGTCTTTTTCAGGGTGGCTACATGTCAGTAAAGTCAGGGAAATGACATGAAAAAAATGTTTTTTCAGGGAAATTAAGAAAATTGATACTTTTTTCAACTTATTTTCAAATATTGCGACTTTTTCGATTTTTCTTCCAAATATTGCAACAAAATACCACATTTTTTAGTATAAAATGCAACTTATTTCGATTTTTATAGGTAGTGCGAAAAATAACTATTTAAACAAATCTTTCAAAAATTATTTTCTAAGATAATTAAATTTGTTAAATAGGTATCTACAATAAAAATCTTTTTGAATAATTGAAATTTTGTAAAAATTTAATTGAAAATAATGAATTATTTTCAAGTATTTTGTTACAGTTTTTGAAAATCAACTTTTGAAGAATTTTAATTGCAAATTTTTAAAATAATTGAATTATCAAAAATTTTAATGAAAAATCTTTAAATCTAAATTTTAAAATGAAAATTAATGAAAATACATACAAAAAATAATATTATTTTAGAATTATTTTTGACAATTAGAAAAAAAATTTTTTAATTAAAATTCACAGTAATTCAATTATTTTTATAAATTTAAAAATTCCTTTCAGTGATTAAATTATTTTCATAATTAACAATATTCATGACACGAATATTCAATTCTTTACCAAAAAAAATAAAAATTTCAGAGGAATTCAATATTATTAAAAATAGAATTTTTATAAATTTTTTTGAAAAAAATCAATTGTTTGAAACTTTTTTTATAAAATTCTTCGCAATAATTCAATTATTTTCATAAATAATAAAACTCTTTGAAGAAATTCAATTATTTTTAATATACAATATTTTAATGAAATTCCTCGAAAAAATGTAATTATTCGTAAAATTTTTATTAAAATTCGCCGAAAGAATTCAATTAATTAAAAAATTTGTTGATAAAATTATGTATATTATAAGATTTCAATTTTAAGAAACATTCAATTATTTAGTAAAAGTATTTGGTAATAATTGAATTTTTGAGAACTTGCTAATAGTTGCAATTTTTAGAAATAATTAATTTTTGTAAAGGTTTTAATTAAAATCTTTGAAAATCTTAATTTCCTATACTTTAAATTAAAAATTTTATAAAACTAATTTTTTTCAAAAAGCTTAATCGAAATTTTTTAAAATTATTTCAAGTCTTTATTTTCTAATGTATATTTAATCGAAAAATTTCTTAAAATTGAATTGTAAACAAATGGATTTAAAAATTCTCAAAGAAGAACTTTTTCAAAAATTATTAAAAACTAGCAAATGTTACGCGCGCGCGCGGAACTTGATATTCAATTTATTATTATTATTATGCAAATTAAAAAATTTTTTATTTTCAAATATGAATTTTTGAATAATTTTAGATTCAAACATTAAAAAAAATTCAATTAATAACTATAATTTACTAATTGATTATTCTTGTTTACTAATTTCAAAAATTTTAATAACATTCTTCGAAAGAATTTAATTATTTTCAATAACATTCTTCGTAAGAATTCAAATTACTTTTTAAAAATATCTAGTAAATTTTTTTGCAAAAATTCAATTATTTTTAAATAAAATTTTAATAACAATTCACTAATGAATACAATTATTTTCTAAAATTTTAATAAAATCTTTCGAAACAATTCAATTATTTTTTTAAATGATCAAATTTTTCAAAAGAATTTAATAATTTTCTAAAAAATTTCACGAAAGAATTCAATTTTTTTCTTAATTTTTAATAATATTTTACGAAAAAAATCAATTATTTTCTAAAATTTTTAAAATCCTTCGTTACAATTCAATTATATTTGTAAATAGTAAAATTCTTTGCAAAAATTCAATTATATTCAAAATAATTTCAAAAAAGAATTCAATTATTTTTTTAAACTTGAAAGAAATTGTTCATGAAATTAAAATATTTTTAAAATTTTTAAAGAAAATAAAAAAAAATCAAAGAATTTCTTCAAAAGAAATTTAATTAAAATTTTCAAAAGTTTTAACATAATTTTCGTTAATAAAAAAAATTCTTAGAAGGACTTCTATTATTATCAAATTATTTAATAACATTCTTTGCAACAATTCGACGATTTTCAATACATTAATTTTAAAATTGAAAATATTTAAAAAGAAAAATTATTAAGAAAGTTATGAAACAAAAAGCATACATCTACTAACTTCAAACTGCGAACAGATTACCGGAATACTGCCGGAATACAACGGTTGTAAATATAGATTGATATAAAGAAGAATTTTATTTAAAAATTGTAGAAAATAATAATTAAAATGAAATGATGAAAATAATTTTGAAGAAGTTGCAGTAACAATATCCTTATATTTTATAAAATAATGATTTTATCACTCGGTCATCTTGAATTATTATAAAACATGAAGAAATTGATGACTCCGAGTCGAAGACTCGGAGTTAACGATTTTTTCATGTTTTATAAGAATATTTTTAAAGTTGTTTAATTTCAAAAAGATTTAAATTTGACATTTTAAAAATCTTAATTCCTATGAAAAAATATAATAATGATTAAATATTTATTTAAAAATGAAGTTATTGATGTTTTTGAATAATTGTACAATTGAAAAAATTCGTAAATAAATGTAATAGAACATTTTTTTGAGTATCTAATTATTTTTAGAATGAATCAGAATATTTTTTAGGGTCAGAGAAAAGATCAAAATTTTGCCTGTAAAGTCAGTGAAAAAAAAATTAAATGTTTGTGGCAACCCTGATGATCTACACAAAGGAAACAAAACGGAGTTGTGTAAAATGTGGGGAATAATAGAGAATAAACTTCAAAACTATTATGTAATTATTCTACATCAACTTCTAAAATTTATTCTCTGTTATTTAAAAAATTTTACAAAACTCCTTTTCGTGAATATTAGAGCTGTGCAAAATTCGAACCGAACCGAGTTTTGTTCGGTTTTGGGGCGCCGAAATGTCGAATATTCGACATCCGAACTGGGCTAGTTCGAATGTCGGATTTTCGACATTCGAACTAAGCTAACTCGAATGTCGAATTTTCGACATTCGAACTGGGCGAAAAAATTCGAACAGTTCGGTTCGAATTATTCTGCACAGCTCTAGTGAATATCTTTATCCACTAGTCGTAGGTTCCGTAAAATTCGATACATTTTTTTTCGGTGTAATCTTTGTAGAAATTTTAGTAGTAATTTTAGTAGTATTCCTGGTAGTAATATTAGTAGTAATCCTGGTAGTAATATTAGTAGTAATCTAAGTAGTAATCTGAGCAGTAATCGTAGTAGTAACCTTAGTATAGTAATCTTAGTAATTTTGATAATCTTAAAAGATGTTTGCCGACTCTTTCTTTCTTATAAAAGTTCTTTTTGCTTATAAAAATTCAGTTTTCGTATAAAATTTCGTTTTTTCTCACCAGAGTTCTTGTTTTCTTATAAATAATCTATTTTTAGAGAGGAGAGATAATTCGGAATTACCTTGAAGGGCTGCGACAATGGCTCCCATTGATGGCTGGCTCGTCATTCCGGACATGCTGTCGACAGCAACGTCAACAACGTCAGCTCCACTTTGAGCGCAGGCCAGCATAGAGGCAACACCAGCTCCTGCTGTATCGTGAGTGTGAATGTGAATCGGAATATCCGGATGTTTTTGTCTAATGGCATCAATAAGTAGACCAGCAGCTCTTGGTTTCAAAAGTCCAGCCATGTCCTTAATTGACAGAACGTGCGTTCCAGCCTTCACCAATTCATCAGCCAAATTCGTGTAGTATTTCAGATCATATTTTGTCCTCGATGGATCACTCACATCTCCAGTGTAGGAAATTGCTGCTTCCACTACTCCACCTGCTTTACCAGCAGCCTCCATACCTAAAAGCAAAATTTTCCAATCAGTTTCGATAATTTTCGATATAATCTTCAATCTTCGAATTTCGAAATTACAAAAACTCAAAATTAAGTACATAATTTCAAAATATTAAAATAGCGAAAAAGATTCCTCACCAAGAATGAGATTCGGTAGATAATTCAATGAATCGAAGACTCGGAAAATATCCATTCCAGTTTTAACGGCGAGTTCGCAAAATTTGTAGACAACATTGTCGGGATAATTTGTATAGCCAACGGCATTAGCACCTCGGAGTAGCATTTGGAATGGTATATTTGGAATAGCTTTTCTCATATCTTCTAAACGCTCCCATGGGCATTCGTGCAAAAATCTCAAAGCCACATCAAACGTTGCTCCACCCCAATTCTCCAGTGCGTAAAGATTGCTGAATTTATGAGCGACGAATGGAGAAATCATGAGCAAATCATGAGATCTCACTCTAGTTGCCAGAAGTGATTGATGAGCGTCCCTAAAAGTTGTGTCCATCAATAGCAGACTTTTGTGTTCACGAACAGCTTTAGCAAAAGCCTCTGGTCCCTTTTCCTTCAGAATTTGTCGAAAACCTTTCGGTGGATCTAGAAGTCCTGAAAAATTCACATTGTCTTAATTTTCGAAAATTTTCCTTCTCATTTTTTCAACGAAAGCAGATACCATGTTATAAGCATTTTCATCATTGACTTAGCGATTAATTTTTCTGTCAATTAATAATTAAATAGCCTTTTTTTGTATTAGCGTTTCTTATTTTCTAAATGATCCTGGAAATATAAATATTATGAATTAGAGAATTTTGAAACTAAAAATTTTGTTTTTATTTTGACAATAAATTTCCGATATTTAATTCATTTAATTAATTTTTATAATTTTAAATTTTAATAATTATAATTTTATTCAATTAATATTTATTTTATTTATTTTTAAACTAAATTTACCAGCAATACTGATAACATTTCTTCAATTTTCTATTTATTTAAATATATTAGAATAAAGGAGAAGACAAATGTTAGAATATTGATTTGGTGGAGACGTTATTTTTCATTTGAAAAACTACTGTTTTTTAGAAAATTAAAAAATTGTTAATTATTAATAAAAGGACTAGTAAAGATGTTAAAAGTATTAATAAGACAATTAAAGGATTAATAAATAAATTAATAATTGGAAATTTATTATCAAAAGTTAATTAACAAAAAACAAAATTAGTGTCATTTTTGAGACCAAATTGATTAATGATCTGAGGTGTCGTATGATAAAAAATAAAAAATATCAAAAATCCAAAATTTGTTCCTTTAGCGAACTTTTGCAGAATTTATTGCGAGGAATATTAAATTTAAATTTATTTATTTAGCATATATTATATTTCAAAGAAAATATAAATTACAATTTAGTATTAGCATGAAAAGTATAAAAATAATGTTAAAGGAAGTATAAATTGGATTTTTTTGTCATACATTCATACCTGGTAGGTCCTCATCGCTAGATTCCTCGGCTGCTGCAAGCTTAGCAAAGTCTAAAAAAAATTGGCAAAACAAAATGATAAAAGCATGCGATAAACAAATGAGTGTAATAACAAATAGAAAGTGTATGTGAATAATGATTGTGATATTTTCTAGCAATTTTCTAATCACCTTTTTTTTGTTGTAATTTTAACGCATACTTAAACATTCTAAAATTAATTTTGTTAATTGAAAACAATGATAATGCTTTTGATAAATGTTTATTAATAATTGTAGTATGAATTTAAAACACACAAAAGAATTGTTTCTTTGTAATTTGAAAAAAAATTTCCATTTTTCAAATTGGTTGGCGATATTTGGAAGTATAAAAATTATAAATAAATGGAGAAAATTATTAAAATTAATAAATATTTAGGGGATGATAATAAATATTCGGAAAAAAGATTTTTTAAATAAAAATTTAAATAATACTAAGTTTAAGGAATTTTGAATGTTCAAGTGAACGAAATTTATTTATTTATTTTTCTAATTCAAATATTTTAATAATATTGCGTCACGTATTAGAAAATTTTTCATGTTTTTGATTTTTAATCTAGTTAACAATTTTTAAAAATATTTATTTTAAAAAAATTATTTAAAACTTTTTCGTTCACTTGAACGTTCCAAATTTTTGGAGCATAATTTTGTTAATTTTTTCTTAAAATCGTCTGTAAAGACGTCAGTGAAATTTACAACGTTTATAATCTACGATTGAAAGAAAAAGAATTTTTTTTCAAGAGAAAAATAATAAAATTTGAAATAAAAAAATTTTATTATTTATGGTTACAATTATTTTTCTCTTGAAAACATTTTTTAAAACGATTAATCGAGAAACTTCGAAAGAGAATTTTTTATTCAAAAATATGATCTTAAAGTTTCAAACGTTTAAAACGAACAATTCTTTTCGTACTTTTTTCAAAATTGACTTTTATTCGGGAATATTTTTTCTAAATTTAAAAAATTCTCAACAATGTAAAATATTCAATTTCTTTAATTTTTTATTTTATTCTTGTAATTCTTTTTCTTGCAATTGTAATTCTTGTTTTTTTAAATATTAAAACAGAAAATTTAACTAAAGTTTATAAACTAATGATCCATAAGTTTTGAACGTTGAAATGAACTAAATATTGTTATTCAAAAATTTAAAATACTTTCAAAGAATTTTTTCAATCATTAAAAAAAAAATTTTTTTTTAATTTAAATTTAACATTTAGAAACCTTAAAATTTATTTTTTATACACAAAGCAAAATTATTGTAAAAAAAATTGTAATTTTAAGAAAAAATAAATTATAATTTCATTCATTTGAACGTTCAGAACTTGGAAATTTTTCCAACCAGTAAAAATTAATTTAGCAACCAGCTGGGAAATAAAATTTTGAAAAAATGCCCAATAAAACTTAAAATTATTAGTAGTAAATAAATAAATAAATAAATAGTGTTTTCGTGCCAGAAATAAAAGAATAATTGTGTCACAACTGGTGCTAAAAACACAAAAGTTATATTCTATTTTTTTAGATTAGTAAATAGCTAGTAACAAAAATTGTAGAAGAATAATAATAATTTAGAATAATAGAAAGAACATACCAATTGCAATTTGTGGAACGTATGGTCGAATTTCAGCTGGTTTTAAATTTGTTGCTAGTGGAGTACTGGGACCATTAACGAGAACAGTTCCCAAATAATTTAATAATTTTTGTGCTCGATTTTGACTCGGTTGAAATTGAAATAGCTGAGGATTTTCATCGATAAAATAAGTGTCAACATTTCCATTGAGGAATTTTTGATTTTCGAGGACATTTAATAAAAATGGAATATTCGTCTTTACACCACGAACTCGAAATTCTCTTAGGGCACGATTCATTTTTGCGCATGATGATTGTAGATCGGCGGCGTGAGCAATTACCTGGAAAAATTTATAATTGTTGGTATTAATTGATTAATTGTAATTTAATTAGTAATTGTTTATATCGTCGGAGATACTGCCTTACAGCTTATCTCGCAAATTCCTTAAAGGGTACTTTTTGTGCAATTTTGTGCAATTTTTGTCTCAATTTCAAATTTTAGAAAATTTCAATTTTGAATGAATTTAATTAGAAATTTTAAAGAACTTAGATTTTTGAAAAATTTTAATAATTCAAATTCTTCTGAAATTAGTTAAATTGTTATTAAACAATATATTTAATTAATAATTATTGAAAATAATAGATTTATAAAAGGATTTTATTTAAAAACATGAAAAAATTGATTTTTGGAGAAGTTACAATAACAAATGATTGCAGAAATTCAATTATTTTTATAAGTAATATAATTCTTCTCAGAAATTCAATTATGTTCAAAAAATGTTTTAAATTCTCGTCAAAATTTCAATTATCTTTGGAAATAATTAAATTCTTTTCCGAAATTCAATTATTTTCAAAAATTTTAATAAAACTCATTGCAAAATTTCAATTATTTTTAAAAATTTTCCTGAGTTCAATGATTTTCAATATTTATTTTTTTAATAAAATTTTCCAAAAGAATTCTATTATTTAAAAAAACTTTTAATAAAATTTTACGCAAACATTTAATTATTTTCATAAATAATAAAAATTTCACAGGAATTCAATTATCTACACATTTTCTTTATAAATTTCTTTGGAATAATTCAATTATTTTCATAAATAATCAATTTTTTTTACAGGGATTCAATTATTTTCATAAATAATAAAATTTGTTTTCAGGAATTTAATTATTTTCATAAATAATAAAATCATTATAAGGAGGAAGTCAATTATTTTCATAATTAACAATATTCATCACAAGAATTCAATTATTTTAAAAAGTAATAAAATTCAATTGTTTAAACAATTTTAATAAAATTCATGGAAAAATTTCAATTATTTCCAAAAAATTTTCTTATAATTCAATAATTTGTATACCTATATCTATTATTTTAATAAAATTTCTCAAAAGAATTCAATTATTTAAAAACAATTTTGACAAAATTCTACACGAATATTCAATTATTTTTTAAAATAATGGAAATTTCACAGGAATTCAATTATTAAAAATAGAATTTGCATAATTTTTTTCGTAAAAAGTCAATTGTTTGAAACTTTTTTATAAAATTCCTCGCAATAATTCAATTATTTTTATAAATAATAAAACTCATTGCAGAATTTCAATTATTTTCAATACAATTTTAATCGAATTTCTCAAAAAAATAAAATTATTCTTAAAATTCGTCGAAAGAATTCAATTATTTAAAATTTGTTAATAAAATTCTTTATAAGAATTCTGTTTACGAAGTATTCAATTATTTAATAAATTATTTATTGTCGGATTTAAATAATTGAATTTTCGTACAATTTTCTAATAAATATTCATTTAAAAATGAATTTCAGTTAAAGTTTTAAATATTAATTGTAATTATAATAAAATTCTTCTTCAAAATTTAATTATTTTTAAATATTTTTCTCAATTCTATGATTTTCAATATCTACTAGTTTAATAAGATTTTCCAAAAGAATTTAATTATTTAAAAATTTTGTATTAAAATTCTACGCAAACATTTAATTATTTTCATGAATAATAAAATATTTTTAAGGAATTTTTTTTCAATAAGTCCATTATTTCAATAAATATTAAAACTCATCGCAGAATTTCAATTATTTTTAATACAATTTTAATCGAATTCCTCGAAAAATGTAATTATTCTTGAAGATTTTATTAACATTCTTCGAAAAAATTGAATTATTTTAAAATTTGTTGATAAAATTCTTTATGAGAATTCAATTTTAAGGAACATTCAACTATTCAATAAATTATTTATTTTTGTATTTAAATAATTGAATTCTCGTAGACTTTTCTAATAAAAATTGATTTAACTGATTTTTAGAAATAATTGAATTTTGAAAAGGTTTCATATTAAAATCTTTGAAAATCTGAATTTTTTATACTTTTAACTAAACAATTCTGTAAAATTAATTTTGTTGATAAAGTTTAATTGAATTTATTTGAAATTATTTGAAGTTTTTATTTGAAAAATAAAAAAATTTGTATTGAAAAACAAATGGATTTGAAAATTCTCGAAGAACTTTTTCAAAAATTATTAAAATTATTAATTGATTTAAAGAAGAATTTTAGTTAAAAATTATAGAAAATAATAATTGAATTGAAATAATGAAAATAATTTTGAAGAAGTTACAGTAACAATCTTCTTATAATATAAAATAATATTTTATCACTCAGTCATCTTTAATTATTATAAAACATAAAGAAATGGATGGCTCCGAGTCGAAGACTCGGAGTTATCGATATCTTCATGTTTTATAACAATATTTTTAAAGTTGTTTAATTTTAAAAAGATTTTAATTTTTAAATTTTAAAATCTTATTTAATTCCCATGGAAAAATAATAATGATTAAATATTTACTTAAAAAAGAAGTTATTAATGTTTTCGAATAATTTTACAATTAAAAAAATTCGTAAATAAATGTAATAGAACATTTTTTTTAGTATCTAATAATTTTTGAAGTGAATCAGAATATTATTTAGAGTCGGGGAAGAAGTTAAAATTTTGTCTGAAAATCAGAGAAAAGTCATCAGGGAAAAACAAAATTAAATTTTTGTGGTAATCCTGGATGTGGCCCTTAAAGAATTTTGAGATATTTTTAGGTATTGCAGTAGGTCGGACGATATTAGTCTCGCTTTTTAGCAAAATTTTTCTTTTACCTTAACGAGTAAGGAATCGTAATAGGGTGAAATAATGGCACCAGCGAAAGCAGAAGCACCGTCTAAACGTATTCCCATTCCCTCGCCAGATCGAAATACTTCAATTCTTCCCGTGTCGGGTTGGAAACTTTTTGCTGGATCCTCAGTTGTAACTCGACATTGTATGGCATATCCCTGGGGTTTTATATTTTCCTGTGTCATTCCCATTTCCGGTAGAGTTATTCCTTCAGCAATTCGAATTTGCGATTGGACCAAATCAATTCTGTGGAAAACATATCGATTTTGAATTCATTTTTATATTTTCCCAAAAATACTTGGTAGTAAGTATACTGAACGTTCAAAAAAAAGGAAATATTTTTCATTTATACGTTTGGAAATTTAGGCGATAAATTATTAATGGAGATTGCTTTTCTCATTTCGAGAGATTCAAATAATACCTAAATATTTATCTGAAAATTTTCTGACACTAGTTTGCCCTAGATTACACCCTTCGTTAAATGTTTCAACCATTATTTCTCCCCTTATTGTATTTCCTTATTTTTCCCCCTTATCTTTTCTTAGAGGGTTGCACTTTTCGAAATAGGATCAATCCCTCTTTTCTACATCTACAACATTTTCTTTTTCGATTTTTGAAAATCAATTCGTTTATCAGATTAAAAAATGTGCTTAAATTTGCAAATAAAATTTTTTGGTTCAGCACTTATGGTAAATTTTACACTGGTTTTGAAATTAAAATCTTTGTTTTTTTGTTTTCGGAATAATTACCCTGTAATTTCTTCAGTTACAGTATGCTCGACCTGTAACCTGGCATTGACTTCAATGAAATAGAAATTTCCCGTCTCGTCGGCCAAAAATTCGACAGTACCAGCGTTTGAGTAACCAACATGTTTGGCCAATCTCACCGCGTGGTCTGTCATTTTGTTTCTGACTTTTGGATCCAAACTTGGAGCTGGAGCAATTTCCACAACCTAAAATTTACCATTTTTAATGATTCTTGTTACAAAAATCGTATAGGGAATTATTTTAACATGAAAATGGATTCAAATCAGGAAAATCAAATCAAATTAAAAGGAAATTGAATTAAAATCGATCAAAATGGATTTAGTTAAAGATTAAAATAATCGAAGGATTAGAATGATAATATCTTTGATAAATCAAAGGATTACTTTTTCAAAATGATTACGAATGATTTTGTTTTGATTTAATTTTGTTGTAGAAAAAATTAATTCAGAAATGGATTATCTTTTTTTGGGTAAATTTAAGCTCCAGAGCTTATGATATTTTTAATATCATAGTTTTTCAAAGGATAGCAAATTGAGACAAAAAGCGAATCAAAACTGTTGCGAAGCAACGTTTTGAAACGTTGCTTCGCAACAGTTTTGATTCGCTTTTTGTCTCAATTTGATATCCTTATTGTTAGAAAAACTGAGAATCTCATATTGTAACTTTGAAGAGCTCGAAAAATATGCAAGCAGTGAAATAATAAAAATATATGCAGTAAAATTCTAGGTTATTAGTAAAATATTCTAAATAATAGGAAATAAAATTCAAAGTTTCAAGTAGTAGAATCATAGTAAGAGTATCGAAAAATAATTTTGATAGTAAATAAATAGACAATGACCTTTTGATGACGTCTTTGAACGGAACAATCTCTTTCGTACAAGTGGACAACATTTCCACCATTGTCACCGAGAAGTTGAACTTCAATGTGCCTTGGCCTTTCAATGAACTTTTCAATGAACATTGCACCATTTCCGAATGCGGCTTTTGCTTCTGATGATGCTCTTTCGAACATTTCTTTAACTTCCTCCATTTGTCTAACAACTCTCATACCTAAAAATGAGAGAAATGTTTGTAGTCTTTTAAATTTCGTCTTTCAATTTTTCTTCTTCGTAGAGAAAATATATTTTTCAAAAATTTTTTAAAAATACATTTTATACTATATCTAAAAAATACTTCGATACCTCCAAAGCTCTTTTACGTTTGATCATCTAAAATAACAGCTGTTCAGCTACTCCTCTAAAACAACCGAACTGTATTTGTCCTCAACGTTTCTAAAAACGAAAAAATAAAGCGAGAATATATTTTATTTTGGATTTATTATTTTTGAACTGTTCTTTAAGAAACTAATTTCTTAAAACAATTTGCGCACATCAAAATTAGAGATGAATTTAACTTAAAAAACTTCTCTTTCGATTTTTCGTTTTTAAAAACTTTTCGGACTTTAGTCTCATTTTTTTTTTTATTTAAAAGTCAAACATTTGCAATGAAATCTAAAGGCAATTTATAATCAACCAATATTGATAAAGTACAAATGAATATTATTTTATTACAAATATTTTATATTTCAAGTAGAAAATGCATTAAAGAAAATGTCGAGTTTAAGAAAAAATACAGTTCGGTTGTTTTAGAGAAGCAACTGAACGCAGCGATTATTTTAGACGACCAACGTGAATTTTTCTTTCAGTTAAAAAAAAAGTTAAACGTTAAAAAAAAGGAAAACGTTTTTTTAGCATGGAGATATCGAAGTATTCTAAAAAATACTTTTTTTTTTAATTAATTGTAAGAAAATATATTATATCCGCATTCGAAGAATGTTGTAACGAATAATTGATTTCTAAGAATTTAATTATTCGTTTGAAGTATTTTTGTCTATATTTATATAATTCAGAAATTAATGAGATATTGTGTTTGGAGACCCTGGATGTTGAAAGGTTTTTTTTTCTTTTTTCTTTTGTTGAAGAAAATTGCATTGCTCTTTCATATGAGGAGATAATAAAAGAGACCGATTTTAGGATATTAACCCTTTTGGAGGCAGTAGTTCTAAATAGAAAGACAATTTAATTTCCAGTTGTTGATCAGGTTGTACCTCGTCCTCCACCTCCGTAGGCAGCTTTGAAGATAACCGGAAGTCCATGTTTCATGCAGAATTCCATTGCCTCGTCGGCTGTCGTTACTGGACCATCGGTTCCTGGAACTATTGGTACACCGGCTGCAATTGCTGCTTGTCTTGCTGCCACCTGTAAAATTCTTCTTCTTAATCTTTTTTTTTGTACAAAAAAAATTGTAGTTCACAATTGAATTATCACTTTTCATTTTTCAATTGTAAAAACAAGATTTTTTACTGAGTTTTACTGTAAAATTGTTTCTTTAAATTTTTTGTTTCCGTACGAAAAAATTTACTGTTTGCAGATTAGTTTATAGTTTGCAGTTTAGTTTTTATAGTTCTCAGTTTAGTGAATAGTCTACAGTTACAAAAACAAGATTTTTTTTACTGTTTTTTATTGTAAAAAATTGTTCTTCAAAATCATTTTTTTCTGTACAAGCAACTTGACGGTTTGCAGATTTGTTTATAGTTTCCAGTTTAGTTTATAGTTTACAATTTAGTTTACAGTTTTCATTTTAGTTTACATTTTTCAGTTTAGTTTACAGTTTTCAGTTACAGAACTAAAATTTTTCAGTTTACAAAAAGAGGTAAAATTAAACTAAACTAAAAATTTGTTAGTTCCAAAGAAAGTTCTTCTTGCAGTTACAGAAAAATATTCTGCTGCACATTTTTTTCTAATACTGGATATTTTTTCTACTGGATTAAAAAAAACAATACTTTACTTTGTCTCCCATTTGCTGAACGACTTTCGGACTAGGGCCAATAAATCTGATTCCCGCGTCGACAACAGCTTGTGCAAAGTCAGATCTTTCGGATAGAAAACCATAACCTGGATGAATGGCGTCGACATTATTTTCTTTGGCAACTTTGATGATTTCTGGAATATTTAGATAGGCCTGAACGGGAGGCAGTCCTCGTCCAACCATGTAGCCCTCATCAGCTTTTTGTCGGTGCATTTGCATTTTGTCCTGCTCGGAATAAATGGCAACTGATCGAATTCCAAGTTCCGTGCATGCTCGGAAGACACGAATTGCAATTTCTCCTGAAAATAGAATTAACATTTTTGTCTTTATTTTATTCTATTTTTCTATTTTTTCTTTTATTTACTCTTTTCTTTTTATTATATTTTCCCTTTAGTTTATTCCATTATTTCTTTGCTTAACTCTACTTTTTCTTAATTAATTTTCTTTAAATTTATTTTTAATTTAATTTAACTTAATTTATTTTTAAATATTTATAATTTTTGTAATTTTCATAATTTTGAATCTGAGATAATTTAATTCTTGCATAGAATTTTATTACAATTTTGAAAAATAATTGAATTGCTTCTGAAGAACTTTATTACAATTTATTGTTGAAAATAACTTGAATTCTTTGAAAGAATTCAATTAAAATTGTAAAATTAATTGAATTTTTATAAAGAATTTTATCAAAATTTTTAAAAATAATTCAATTCTTTCCAAGAATTTTATAAAAATTAAAAAAAATTGAATTCTTTCAAAGAATTTCATTGAAAATTTTAAACATATAATTGAATTCTTTCACGAAATTTTATTAAAATTCTATTTAAAGTAATTAAATTCTTTCGAACAGTTTTATTAAAATTTTTAAAAATAATTGTATTCCCTCTAAAAATTCCATTTAAATTCTATTGAAAATATTATTTAATTCTTTCGAAGAATTTTAATAACATTTTTTAAAATAATTGAAATTTCTGCGAAAAATATTATTTATGGAAATAATGAAATTTTTGCGAAAAATTTTATTACAATTATTTAAAGTAATTGAATTCTTGTGAAGAATTTCATTATTTATGAAAATAATTGAATTCCTGAGAAGAATTTAATTGAAAATTATTGAAAATAATTTAAATCCTTTCTATCAATTTAATTGAAATTGTAATGAAATTAATTAAATTCTTGTAAAGAATTTTATAAAAATTTTTGAAAATAATTCAAGTCTTTACAAGAATTTTATCAAAAGTTTAAGAAATAATGTAAATCTCACAAGAAATTTCATTAAACTTTTTTTAAAAATAATTGAATTGTTTCAAAGAATTTTATTAAATTTTAAAAAATAATTGAATTCAATCCAAAAATTTTATTTAAATTGTATTAAAATAATTAAATTCCTGCTAAAAATATTATTTATGAAAATAATTGAATTTTTACGAAGAATTTTATTACAATGTTTGAAAATAATTGAATTATTTCGAAGAATTTTTAAAAATAATTGAATTCCTGCGAAAAATATTATTCATGAAAATAATTAAATATTTGCGAAGAATTTTATTACATTTTTTAAAAATAATTGAATTTATGAGAAGAATTTTATTGTTTATGAAAATTGAATTCCTGAGAAGAATTTTATTCAATTTTTTGAAAATAATTTAAATTCTTTTTAGGAATTTAATTGAAATTGTAATAAAATGAATTTAATTCTTATAAAGGATTTTATCAAAATTTTTGAAAATAATTCAAGTCTTTACAAGAATTTTATTAAAATTTAATAAAATAATTGAATTCTCCTGAAGAGTTTTATATAAATTTTAAAAAATAATGGAATGCTCACGAGAAAATTCATTAAACTTTGTTTAATAATAAAATGAATTGTTTCAAATAATTTTATTAAATTTTAAAAAATAATTGAATTCTATCGAAAATTTTTATTTAAATTGTAGGTATTAAAATAATGAAAATTTCTGCGAAAAATATTATTTATGGAAATAATTGAATTTTTGCGAGAAATTTAATTGAAATTGTAATGAAAATAATTGAATTTTTATAAAGAATATTATCAAAGTTTTTGAAAATAATTGAATTTTTATGAAGAATGTTATCAAAGTTTTTGAAAATAATTCAATTCTTTACGAGAATTTTTTTAAAAGTTTAAAAAATAATGGAATTCTTTCGAAGAACGTTATTTAAATTGTATTAAAATAATTGAATTCCTGATAAAAATAATATTATTTATGAAAATAATTGAATTTTTACGAAGAATTTTATTACAATATTAGAAAATAATTGAATTATTTCGAAGAATTTTATTATTTATTATAATAATTGATTATATCTGAGAAGAATGTTATATAAATAATTGAAATTTTGCCTAGAATTTCATTAAAAATTATGAAAATAATTGAATTGCTGAGAAGCTTAGAAATATTATGAATTCGAATGGCCCTAAATTTTTCAACCCTCAAATGAACGATTATTGTTTTGTTACTTTGTTTGAATTTTAAATTTATATTAGAAAATATTTTTTTATGAAAGAAAAAAATTCCTAATCAAGTAAATATTTAATTTATTTGTTTTTCTTTATTTTATTATAATATTGTATTTTTTTTAAATATCAAGACAGAAAAACTTTTAGTTTATTTGAAAATTGAAAACTTTAATGTAGAATTTAAAATTCGGATGCATATTTAGACTGTAGTTTTAATTTATTACAATTGTTGGTAATTACACTTTCCAAAATTGTTAATTATGAATTTTATGTTAATGAGTTAACGGGTCTAGAGAAGTTTACTCAGAATTTCAGTAGATAAGTGCGGTTTTAGTCAGACATTCATCAGAAAGCGGTGCATAAATAATTACGTGTCGGTCAATGGAAGAGGTCAAGAACTCGATTAAGACCTTTCTATTATTAATGACAAGAATCGCGAGCAATTTTTTATTTGCAACACTATTTAAGTTCATTTACAATTTAATAACAATTTATAATATAAATTTAAAATTATAATTTATACACTACTTTTAATATTTTCCTGAAAGTTTTGAACGTATGAACGAAATTGTTATATTCCTTAAATATTTTCAAAGTAAAATAATAATTTATTGAATTAATAATCTATTTAATAATTAATAATATTTGATAATTCGAAACAATTCAAGAAATTAATTAAACGAAAAATAAAATAAATTATTTATTAATAAAAATTTATTTAGTAAAAATTTTTCTAATGAACCAAAAAAAAATTTTTTTTTCTTATTTAAACCCAAATTTGAATGAACTATCATTATAATTAAACTACAAGAAAATAATAGAATTAGAGTAATAATTACCTCGATTTGCGACAAGAACGCTGCGAATTGGTTTATATTCAACAGTACTAAAATTCTTTTGTTGTGCAATATTTAAAATTTGTAGTGTCTCTCTGTGCCTGGAAAGCACTTTATTGGCTTTTCGAATCGAGTACATTTTGAAGGATTTATGTTCCTTTGGCTCCCTAGATATTTATTTGTATAATAATTAAAAGAGTATTTTTATTCTTTGATTAAAATTATTGTTTCTTTTTTCAAAAGAAAAAAAAAAGATTCTGTTTTTTTTTCCTAGTATAGTCAATCAGTCTGTCTTCTCGAGTGAATATTGTCCAAAGTTTCTTTCACTGAGTACGGTTTAATTATTCATAGATAAAGTATGGAATGTTTTCAACAATTTTTTTTTCTCTCCGGAACTCGCCCACTTGTTCGTTTCTATTTTGATGGGCCCTTGGAGCGAGTACCGGATTCCTGAAATAAAAATGCAAAATTTTAGTTTTCCTGGTGAATGAAAAATATTATTTTTTTTAAAAAGAAATTTTTTTTAGAAAATTATTAAATAAAAGATACCTATTAAAAAAGTTATTTTTTTTATTATTCATTGCATAGGTTTTTAGGAGAGAGAAATTTATAATTTTTTTTTTTTTTTTATATTTCTATTGTTCTTTTTCAGTCATTTTTTAAAGACATTTTCTTAGTTTAATTAATTACACATTGAATAAGTAAAAGTTGAGAAATTATTTGTTTATTTATTTCTTCCTTTGCTTATGAATAAAGAAACAAATAGGCAAATTACTTGTTTGATTATAAATAAATAAATAAACAAATTGGCAAGCTATTTGTTCGCTTATAAATAAATAAACAAGCAAACTATTTGTTTGGTTATAATTAAATAAATTAATTAATAAACAAATTGACAAACTATTTGTTTATTTGCTGTTGTCATATTTATTTCTTTGTTTGCTTATAAACAAATTATTTATTTACTTATAAATAATTAAACAAGCAAACTATTTGTTTTCATATAATTAAATAAATAAACAAATAGGTAAACTATTTGTTAGCTTATAAATAAATAATTATACAAATTGACAAACTATTTGTTTATTTGCTGTTGTCATATATTTATTTCTTTGTTGTCTTGTAAACATATAAATAAAAAAATTTTTTGTTTACTTTTAAAAAATAAACAAGCAAATTATCAGTTTGCTTATAAATAAATAAACAAATTGGAAAACTATTTATTTGCTTACAAGTAAATAAACAAATAAGCAAACTATTTGTTTGCTTAAAAATAAATAAACAAATAAGCAAACTATTTGTTTATTTGCTTTATATTTATTTGTTTGTTTATAAACAAATTGTTTGTTTACTTATAAATAAATAATTTGTTTACTTATAAATAATTAATTTGTTTACCTATAAATAAATAATTAAAGAAATTATTAGTTTATTTACAAATAAATAAATAAACAATTATTTGTTTGGTTATAAATAAATAAAGAAGCAGAGAAAACAAAATTATTCAAAATCAAATATTTGTATTCGATAAGTTAGAAAAGAGTTTTTTTTTCTGTTTGTGGAGAACAAATTCTAAGTGGTCAAGGCTTTTTTGATTGGCTATTATTGTGTGTGCAATTCCACAATAATGCGTGAATATAATTTTCATTGTGTTATGAATGTCTTTATCGCGGAAACCCATGCACTTTATACGGTATAGGCCGCGCATCGTCGGCAGACGATAAAATTGCAAATTGCCAGTCGTCTGAAGAAAAGTTCAGAGTCTAAAGTTGCATAAGAGAAAGAAGAGGGTCAGAGCATTTACGCGTGAATGTATTAAAAAAAGAAAAAAAAAGAAAACAATAATAGACGCCCATTTTGACTTTATATCGATTGGAAAACTATATGGACGTGATAAAATTTTATAATTTATATCCATTAAAAAGGAAAATTACTTTTTTTTTGTCATTCTAAGTCTTAAATTAAGAGGTGAATAAAAAAGTGATTTTTTTTTTAATTTAGAAAACAAGTATTTATATATGCTAATTGCAATCACAATTTACTAATTTTCGTAATTTATATTGATTTTTTAAATCTATTTTTTAAATCTGTTTTTTAAATCGATTTTCTTTTTAATTTGGATAAATTTTTGAAGAACATATTTCGAAGTAAATTTTTAATTAATAATTAAGTCGAATTAGTTTTCGAAAAATTAAATTAAACAATCAATTTTTTAAAATTAATTTTTCTCAATTTTTATTATTGTTTGACTTATTTTTATTTTATTTTTACTTTCCAATATATAAATATTTTTTCTCACTTCGATATTATTTAATGAGTTTTTTTAAAGATTAAAAAATAAAATAATAATAACAAATCGTTTTTTATTAACTTTTTATTAATTTAAATAATGAATAAAATTTAATAAAAAATATACTCAATAATTAATAGATATTAAAAGTTTTATGATTATTAATTTAAGCCTCTAAAGTTAGCATCGACGTTAAGCGGGAAAAATAGTTTTTTTTTTTTTTTCGTAATCGAAAAGGTAAAATTGTTAATTAAAGTTCTAAGGTTAAATAGTTGCCAAGAAATTTTTAGATGAATGGAAAAAGTAAAATTAGTGACGTTTTCATTTATAAATACTCCAAATAATAGTTTTTGACGCTGAGCGTCGACGCTAACTTCAGGAACTAAAAATTTCAATATTTCATTTAAATATTAATTAATTTATTAATCAATTAAATTATTTTGAAAAAGAATTTTTTTTATTTTTAATGTACAATTTATTGTAAGCAATATGACAAAAAACATATTCTTAATTCTGACAAATTTGAATAATCTCAATTCTTACGTAACGTGAAATGATAAAATGCCTTGGAAGTTTTATTCGTTAGATTTTATTTATTTTCGCATTTGTCAACAAAAACTAGATTACTGTTGCTTACACTAAATTTTTTTATTTCGCAAAAAACTTATTTGTTTATTATTTACCAAAATTAAAGAAAAGATAATTCGTTTTTTTCTTTATTTATAATTAAAGTCCCCTTTTTTGAGAAAGTAAAAAAAATAAAACTACAGCCAATAATTATTATAATTATTATAAATATTATATTATAATATATTATAAATATATTATCCTTATAATTTAATTTAGGAAAATTAATTTGTTTCACTAAATTGATATCTATGTTTAATTTCATATTTGAGTGAATAATAAAATTAGGCTTCTTGGCCAAATGCCCGAGAGATTCAAAGTTAAACAAATTTAGAAAATAGACTATTGTGGGGATTTATTGATAATATATTGAACATTTAATTTTTTTTTGTAAGAGATGAAAGCGCATATAATATATGCAACTGCAAATATGGGGGGAAAAAATCTTCTGCGCAGAAAAGAGAGAATATGAGTCAGAAAAATAAATATTTGTTTTTTTACTTGAAAGTATATATTATGTTAGATGTGTGTATATTTTTTCCAGTTTATCTCAATTGTTATAAGAATGGAAGGTTGTGGCATTTTTAAAATAGCAACATTAAAAAGTTTTTCATCACTAGAAAATTAGAAATTCAAACTCCTTTGAAATCATTATAAAAATTATATAATTTTTCAATTCCTACAATTCTTTTAATAGTTTCACTTATTTCAGAAAGAAAAATAGTTTCTACATTATCTTAATAAAAATAATACTATTATAGTCTTTTAATTGGTTTAAACAAATTTTATGAGTTCAACGAAAATTTTCTTTTTATTTTTGCATTACAAAAAATGCGAGAACTTAGAAGTTAATTAATTATTTTAATTATAGTTGAATGATTGAATTGCAATTAATTTTTTTTGTGTGTTTAATTTATAATCTTTGGATTTATTTTTCTTTTCTTTACTTTGTTGTATATTTTTTTCTCGCACTTCGAAATTATTTAATGAGTTTTTTTAAAGATTGAAAAATTAAATAATAATTATAATAATTTCCCAAGGGTAAATAATTCAATATTTTTGAAAGATTTTAATATAAATTATCTTTTTTCATATTCTGAAATGAGAAATTTTTACTCATTTCAATATTTTTTTCTTTATTTCTTTATTTTAATTGTGGAAAATTTAAAATTTAAAATTTAAAATTTAAATAGAAATTTAAAAAATTTTCTTTTGTTAATTTGCTAATTACAATTAATTACTAATAACAACAAAAATAATAAATAGATAGAAATTTTAAGAAAATTTAACTTTGCAAAAATTAAGGAAATAAGTAACAATAATAATAATAAAAATAATATTTTTCAAAAATAAAAAAATAAATAAAAAAATTTCTTTCGAATGTCAGTACCTGAAGAATAAAACTTGAATAATTTTGCACTTCTCGGCGACTGCTTTAAAAATTATTGTCACTCAGTCAATTTAAAGTTTAGTGCTTATAGCTCGTTACGACCCTCGACCCATAGTAGTAGCGAAATATATTTTAAAAGTTTATTAAACAGAACCAGATATTTATGAAAATTGCTATAAAAAAAAAATTTTAATCTGCAATTTTCAATCGATCCGTTTTTAAAATAACCTTTGAAATGGTTTTTATGATTAATTAACAGTTGATAATTGACTCTCTCCTTATATAGAGTTTATTTTTTTTATTTTTTTCCAAATCAGGCTGTAAATAAAGAACTAGTTTCTCAATAATTACTTTCACGTATTACACAATGTCGTATATATATATTTTTTTTTTTTTTTTGCTATCGGAAATTCAAAGATGTATATAGATATATATTTATAACAGTAGAATGTTAAAGATTTATGATGAACGACGTAAAATATTCAAGGATGTAGTATAAAAAAAGAGACTTGAGGTCTACATTCGTATAATTACAGTTAAGTGTCGATTAATATGAACATTTTTATTACGCATTCTATACTTTTTTCCCCTCTTGTTTTTTATTTTTTTTTATTTTTCTGTTTGTGTATCAATTTTTATTCACGTACTACGAAAGGGAATCATTAAACTCTATAAATTAATATTCTCAGTAATATTTAGCACATTTTAATGCTTTTTAGCAATATTTTACAATATCTAGCAATATTTAGTAGTATCTAGTAATATTTAGTAATATTTAGCAACTTTCAGCAATTTTTGAACCCGGAAAATAATTTTTACCTGAAATAACTGCAAATTTAGCTACATTAGCGAAATTTATAATTGTTTCAATTATTACTTTCGCTATTGAGTATTCTATAGAGATACACATCGCTGTTCCAGGTGAAGATTTTTTTCAGTGAATAATTACAAAATACAATTTAGAAAATAATTTCTTAATTTTTTTTTAATTAATAAATATTTTTCCAATTCTCTCTAAATTTGAGTTATAGTAATAATATTTACTAATTTAAATTATTGAATGAATTTTTCCTTTCGAGTTAGTAAAATTTACTAATAAATTATTAGAACGATTATTATAGTAAAATTCACTAATTCAAAAGC